GTCGACGACGAGTCCTTCCGTTGGCTTTGCCAGACGTTCGGGCGCCCCGAGGTGGACCTCTTCGCGTCGGCGTGGTCGCGGCGTCTTCCCGTTTATGCGGCGCCCTTCCCCGATTGCGAGGCCGTCGGGGTCGATGCCTTTCGGCTCGACTGGTCGAGGTGGGGGTTCCTGTACCTCTTTCCCCCAGTTCGGCTGTTGCTCCAGGTCCTGACTCGCTTAGAGACTTACCAGGGGAGAGTTGTCCTTCTGGCCCCTTGGTGGCCGGCCCAGCCTTGGTTTCAGGCGCTGGTTGCTCGGTGTCCGAACCCGAGGGTTTTCCCGCGGCTCCGCCTCTTTCAGCAGATCGGGCCGGTACGTCACGTAGCTGGTTCGATCTTCTCCTCGAGTCTTCGCGTATGGTTTTTTTGACTCGAGTCTATCATCATCTCTATGGTGATCAGGTGGCCTCCTTGTTGGTGTCCCACCTGAGGGCTTCTTCTCGGCGGCAGTATGAAGTTTCCTGGCGGTCCTTCCGTTTCTTTTTGCGTCTTCGTCGTGTTAGCTCCTTGTCTGTTCGGGTGGTCTTGTCCTTCCTCTCGTGGTTGTTTCAGGACCGTCATCTTATGCCTAACACTGTCGCTTCGTATCGTGCGGCGCTGGCGGAGCCGCTTCAGCTTGCTTTCGGTATCGATGTTACGTCTGCGCCGTTTCGCAAGCTGTCTCGTGCATTGTTTCACCTCCGGCCTGCTCATGCGTCGCCTGAGCCGTCCTGGTCTTTGGACAGAGTGCTCGCTTTCCTTTCATCTCCTCGTTTCGTTGTGGCCCCTTCGGTCCAGGATTGTTTTTCCAAGGCACTTTTCTTGTTGGCTTTGGCCTCTGGGGGTCGGGTAGGGGAGCTTCATGCTCTCCTCCGGCGCAGGGGTTTCTGCTCTTTTGGTCGTGGTGATAGTTTTGTTCGTTTGCAGCCGTCTCCTTCTTTTCTGGCGAAGAATGAGACTGCTGCGTTCCGGAGGGGTCCATGGGTGGTTGATGCTTGGTTGGTCAGGCCGGGGGTGCATCATGTTTTGTGTCCGGTTGCGGCGCTTCGCCGTTATTTGCGCGCCACAGCTTCTGTGTCCGGGGACGCGCTGTGGGTTGATCGGGTTTCCCTTCTTCCCTGTTCGCGGGTTCGGGTCTCTCAGGTCGTCCGCAGGGTTATTAGGTCTAGCCAGCCTGCGGTCTATCCCCGTGCCCATGACGTTCGTAAGTTCGCGGCTCTTGCTGCCGTCTTTGGGAATATGTCTTGGTCTGATATTCGGGCGCGGGGATTTTGGCGGTCGAACAGGGTCCTGGCTGCTCGCTACCTTGTGAATGTCCCTGGCCCTCGTCGGGCCTGTGTTGCTTTGGGTCGGCGGTTGCAGCCAGTTGTCTCGGCTTCGAGTTGAGGGGTGAGCGACGACCGCCTCCCGGGTAAGTCCCTCTTTTTCTGTCTGTGGGTAGTTAGCTCCGGGGAGCCGACGGGGCTCCCCCCAGAAAACCAGCGTTGAATGTAATGAAACGCCATTTTCTGGGTGAGTCCCGGAGGCTCCCCGGCATCCCTCCCTCCCTCCGGTCGGCGGTTTTTCGCGTTTTTGACATCCAGCCTCAAGAACTGAGGTGTGGGTAGCCGGCGCGGGGGGTCTGGGGCTCCCCCTTCCCCCTCCCGGGGAGGGGGGAGCTGCGCAGACAGCGGCGCGGCAGTGTGTGACGTCACACTAATTTGCTTGTTTTCGGTTGGGGAGTTCTATCCACTAGTTCGGTATTAGGTAGCAATTTTAACCAGAATAGGGGTTTGTTTTGGGGCGCTTACCTTTCTGGGTGCCTGTTCCGGTCGATGGCAGACATAGAATGCTTCCAACTACACGGGGGCTTCTATAGGCCATTGCTCCCCTTGCCTCTCTGAGGGGGCCCGGTTCTGGCCGTGGTCCCCGGTAGGCCTAAGAACTCCATACACATGACTGATGCCAAAGTCTGACATTAGCATATCAGCCTGGGATAGCTCCGGGGAGCCTCCGGGACTCACCCAGAAAATGGCGTTTCATTACATTCAACGCTGGTTTTTTTATCATTAATCTCTGAAAGAGACAGCATAGTCTATAATATCCAATATTTAATTGGAGACTATACAGTACTATCTCACAAGTGCAGATGATTGTTTATTCCATATAAATGACATTTTGCTTAAACTGTACTCTACATTACTTGAAAACAGTTTTTCCCTTGAATTGTAAGACAAAATTATCTAATACAAAGGCATTACAATAGATAACAAATCTATTATCTATCTATAAATCTATAAAAAAGTAGTTACAAAATTCAGAGTTGTTGGTGTTATTTTTGGTCCCGTCTACTGGTATTTAGAAAGGCCTACTGTATCTGGCAGCACAATTTTCTCCCTTTGCTCCTTGTCACATGCTGTTAATTTTGTTTATATATTTCTTCTGGAATACTTGTAAACAACTTTGGTGATACACATGAGGTATCTGTAAGCTGCTTCAGTTGCAATATGCATTTTATCTTATGCTTTTTGGCTGCATTTGCTTGTTGATTAAGTTAATTCAGTGTTGCTGTAGTTAGTGTGGTTGAGAGAGTATGCTGTTGTTATAAATAACGTGATATTTGAAATGATGTGAAAAATGAAGTCATTCAGGTGTTTGTGTATGGTATTACAAAAAAAAAAAAATTAGCTTATGAAAGTAAATATTATTTGCCAGCTGGTTGTTCTTATTTGGCTCCACAGGTTCCTTGTAAGTATATCTTTTGTAAATATGTTCATCAGTATTAAAGTGGGGAATATAATTATGTCCATAAATTAAAAATCATTTTGGTTACTTTGATGTAGCACGTTTTTTGATCACACTTTCTTTGTAAATTAAACAAACTGTTTTTTCCATCAATATTAGGAAAAAAATATATAGAAGCTCATTCCTTGTTGAATCTTCCACATTAAACATTCGACAATTGTTTTTTCTAGCCTCAGTTTTCATTGGAATCTTATAATTTTATGTTTGGTAAAATAACATACAGTATGTCACAATCATTCCCTTCTTACTGGACAGTATAATGTTACAGTATGTCACAATCATTCCCTTCTTACTGGACAGTATAATGTTACAGTGTCACAATCATTCCCTTCTTACTGGACAGTATAATGTTAATTACTAAGAATATCTGCACTAGGCAAGAAGGTACCAATCCACAGAAATTAAACATTTATTTTATGTCCATACAATGAAGTGCATTATTACACAACATTCTTATTCTGTATAGTTTGGGACAATTAAGATCATTTATATTTTTATCAACTCGATATACATCAAGAATAGCGTGTTTTTACCTCCAGTGGAAAATTGCACATCTGACAACAGTACTTCTAGTGTTTTAACAGTCAATCTTGATGAAGGGAAGGGAACCATCAGGGTGAAGTGCCAAGCCATTACGACTATATAGTCTGCATATAGCATATATATATAACATACCAATGTGAACTCGGCAGCAGTGAGGGCAGGATGTATGTGCCACAATAATGACAAAAATACCAAATTTTCTAATAATTTGTCTGCCTTGGGGCAAATTCTCGGCCAGCATGATGAGGTAGCACCTAATTATTACCAAGCCACATTTTGTGAATTTGCAAGGCTATTTGACTTGCAAACAAATATTTTGTGTATGCATTTTTGTTAACATTTTTCACATTTTCAAGAAAACTAGAACTGGATTTTTTTTTTTTTTTCTGTAAATGTCATTGAGAGTTAAAGGGTAGCTTAGGTTTAAAATATATTTAACATGGTACTGCCTGCTGTTGAATAAACATGGCCAGAGAAAGGAACTCTTCGGGAAGGAGAGGACAGTCCCCAAACATCTTTCACGGTAATTTTATCATGGACTTGAGGCCAAGTGATTTTTTCACATACATGAACTACTATTATGAACAGTTTGCACAAATATTCTGACATATTAATTGATAAAATGTTTTGCTTGGGAGTAATGGAGTATGGATGTACAGTACGGTATATATGAATAGGTGAAAAATCAATCATGCCTAATAAGCCTGTCTTCTAGTACTGTTAACACAAGCATAAAATATTAATATAATGACTGTATATGTGCTTCCTAAAAGAAAAATATGCAATTATATGCAACAATGATCACGAAAATACTGATCCAAGTATGCCCGGGGGGGGGGGGGGGGGGGTGAATGAGGTTTTTCTCCGTATGTAATTGTGTGTGTAATTTTTTTTAATTTATAAGACATGATTGCATGTACAGTACTGATTTTGTCCTTACGAATCCCACGTACTGTCACTTTTTCAAGCGAGGTATAATCACCCCTGCCATTTGTCCGCGCTTCTTTGAATATCTTCACTTGGACATCAATACACGACGGCAGGGGTGGGAGCCTCACGGACCCCTTCGGGTAGTCCTCCCTGCTACGGCTGGGGCTGCAAGATCCTATCATGGCATAGTACTTATGTCCTTGTGACTTTTGGTAAAATTATAGTTTTGCAGACACAACTGACTCGCACTTTGTCTTTCATATGTTTAACTATAGAGTATATTGCATTCCAAAGCCAAATAAAATTTTATGTATATTGCATTTATCACTAAAATATTGTAATGAACAAAATATTTAAACTATACATGCAGTACAGTACTTCAGTTACCATTTATTGTTGCGTTTTTTATTTTACCGTCATAAAATTTAAATGCATTTTAGCATTTCATCATAAAAGCACAGTGCATGTTTCAAGTATGGTAGTTATTTTAACAGATAGCATTAAAAACCAACACTTTAAAGATAAGTACAGTATAAATATTTTTTTTGTTGTTGGGTTAGTTTTCTTAGTTGCTACGATTGATGTAATGATGCATTAGATATCAATAATTAAACTAATATTCATATGATTTAACAATTATTAGATATTACACTATTACTGGTTTTACATGATAGCAGAATGTTTATTTTGTCCATGACTTGTAATAAATGACTGCACTTGTTCCAGGTCAAGAAATCAAAGTGATGAACAGCAATAATGACAAGGAGACGCCTCAGATTACCTCGCCCGTATCTTCCGTTGCAGAAGTGGCCGTTGATCAACTACATGCCAATGAGAAGCTTATTGCGGGTAAATGAGTTGTTTATACTGTACTGAAATTTAGAGACTTGTTGCCTAAACACACTAAAGGTGTCAAAACATCCGTAAAAAGTTTATTTATAGAGAATTATAAATAAATATTCAGCATAATTATTAGAACTTAACATAAACACTGAAGTGATTGTGAAATTGGAAAGGAAGTATATTCTTCTGATTGTAATTTTTAATTTTAAAATTTTAGTTGTAATGACTAGGTGTTTAATATTGCAGTTTCCTGGAGTGGTTGACAAGTGCATACCTTATCTATGGAAAGAATGTAATAGTCCAGAGACCTTGGCTGAACTGAAAATGCACCATGTCTTTGTTTATATCTGTGTGTATAGGCCTGATTGCCTACCTATATGTGCTAACATGTGTTAGTGAGGAATAAGCTCCAGCTTTTGGGTTCCATCTCTTAGTGTGCTGGTGCAATTACTTGACCCTTTTGCAATTTGTCATATCTACATTTAAAGCTGTGGATCAAGTTACCCTTTTACTGCCTCCTCACATGTTCATTATTCATGCAACACTGAAATACTGTGCTTTCTAAACATGCTTTTGGACTCGTCTGTTTCCAGTTTCTTCCAGTGTTTATATTCTGTTCCTACCCATAGTATAAGATTGCTCTCATTACGCTGTGTGTGGTATTTGTGTGTATATTCCTAGTATCAAATCTTTGGATGTTCTAAATTTACTCTTGTAAGGTGTTGATTACATACAAGTGCTGCATACTTTTAGTACTGTACTGATCTTGTATAAGTGGCATGTGACTACTTTCTTGAATCTCAAACTTGTTCATGTTTCCAAGGTCCACCAGTGTTCTCTCATACAGGTACGTCTTGGTAAAACTGTGCTATCCACTTTGTTACAGTCAGTATCTATTGTTCCTTCTCTCATTCTATCACTGTCAGGCTGAGTTGCCTTAGTCTGCTTTCATAGCTTACCTCTTATACTCTTGGAATCGGCCTTCTTGTAAATCTCTGAAATATTCTCGTTTTCTTATTACTCTCCAGAAGATGGGGATTCCTTGTACTGTGGCATATTCCAGAATTGGTCCGACATAGCTATTCTGTTTAGGATTTTAAAGCTGTCTGTTTGGTAGTTTAGCACATGCTGCTGATTTATTCTGTGGATTTGATGGAAAAAATTATATATAGTGAAAGAACAGTTTTGAGATTTAGATAATGTATTAAAATGCCAATTAATATCATATTAAGATAATTTATAAAGAGGAGAAGCATCAGTGGGAGAATGAGAGCCTTTTATGCCTTTTTCTTATGAGCTCTTCCTTGGGTGACTGAGGGTAATACAGGTCAGTAGGTACAACTGATTTGTCACCCTGGTCTTCATTTACTGTATTTACCTGTTATTATTATTATTACCGGTATTACTCCAAGACCAAATAATCATATTATAGTGTAAAGGTTAGAATTTTCTGGATTCTGAGTTCTTTTACAGTGTTGCATAATGGCTAATAATGGTTAACTAGTGTGTTTTTCTTGTTGGCAGAACTGAATGAAACTTGGGAAGAGAAATTGAAACGCACAGAGAGTATACGTTTGCAGCGAGAAGCAGTGTTTGCCGAGATGGGCGTGGCATTAAAGGAAGATGGAAACACTGTTGGTATTTTTTCCCCTAAGAAGGTGAGCATTCGTCATTAATGTTTTTGAAGAAGATCCTCTCCCTCACAGTTACTCTTAACAAGATCATGAAGTCAATATAAAAATCTTATAATAGGATTTGAAAAGGTGTTTAAAAAATTAGGTACTGTAATTAAATGATAGCTGATAAAATTCAATTCAAGGGATTAACAGTTACAGTAAAAAGTAGAATAGCAAAGTTTCAACCAATTAGATAACAATGTGTGATGGTAAATATAATATTATCCAATCTGTATATCGTAAACTCCTGCATGGCATTGTCATTGTACTTGTTTTTTCCTTTGTCATCCTCATAGCACATAAATAACACAAACTACAGCTTACACATGTAGAAGATGGACAAAATTAACTATTTAAAATGAAGTCTTCTGATAGGCAAGGGAAAATATTACTTATGTTCAGTGGTGACAATTTGTAATTATTAATTAACAATATTTACATTAAACAGGTTCAGGAGACAGAATGTTCACATATATTTTCATAAAACAGAAAACAAGTTAAAAAATATAAGGATTAATGTCACAGCCAGTCTGGTCTAATGTTTATAGAAGGCCACAAACCAAAGGCAACATCTAAATTAGTGAATTATAAGAACTTTCAAAACATTGGTAGCTTCACCAATAATGGTACTCATGATATTACTGCTTGCATATCAATGAATGCTATTTTGTGTTCACATTTCCTATTAAGGCAAGTAAGATATCCATACTAGAATAGTATGGATATCTATTCATATTATTTATTTATTTAGATATTTATAGATATTAGATAGATATTTATTCATAGATATAGATATTTATTCAAGCAGAGAAGTTTTAATGCTTGCACTCAAAATGGGCATTGAAATGGAGAGGGGAGAGAGAGAGAGTACTAGTTTTGCATATTGCCATTAATCTGCTCCATAAAGTATTGCTGGAGCAAGTGATATATCAGGGGATGAGAATGAACCCTTTATAATAAGAACAATATTAATTGTTATTATTTTTAATATGTTTTTATCTTCCTGTTTCAAAAGTGATGTTATTGTTACAGACGCCTCATCTCGTGAACCTTAACGAAGATCCGTCAATGTCCGAGTGTCTTCTGTACTACATTAAAGATGGCTTTACCAAAGTTGGTTCTGCAGACTCTAACATTCCTCAGGATATTCAGCTCTGTGGTTCTCATATTATGGCAGAACACTGTCAGTTTGAGGCAAGTATTTTTGTATGAATATTTTAGTTAATTACAGTAATCAATCTGTACTTATTTTTCACATGAATAATACTTATTCTTTCAATACTTTAATACTAACAGAACATCCACAACCAATGTGATCTTTAAATATGGAGCAACCTTAGCAAGGTAGCTTCAGGGAGCCACTGGAACTCCTCCAGAAAAAAGGCATATAATTTCATTCAATGCTGGGTTTTTATTTGAGTTTAGAAGTCAAGAACTTGAACTTGAATTTATTTAGGTTCAGTAGAAATCTTGGTAATCTGAATTTCTATTTGCATTAAATGGTAAAAAGAATCTAAAAAATTGTATGTTAATTTATTCAGGTTACCAGAATCTGAATTACCAAGCGCTTACAGTACTAAAAAATTGATGCCGTTCTTCCTGCTTCCATCTTTGCATTATTGTCCACATCTATTCCACAGAAGTGGCACTTGAGATTAAATACAATTTTAGGTAGTTAGGCATTAGGGAGCATGTACTATATTTTGACTTTTTTGTTTTTGGGTTCAATAGTAAATTATTTTTAATGCTGATTGATTTCACAATTTTTTTTTTTTTTGTTTTATCAAAGCCTCATACATTTTAAAATCAAACATTTGATTTTATTGGTATGCTAATTGATGTCTGATGAGAAAATCCACAAGAGTCGTGATGAGGATTCGAACCTATGCGCTGGGTATTCCCAGATGCATGCTCTAAATGACTATTCTTTTCTTTTGACCATGTAATGGCGTAGTCGTTTAGAACGTGCATCTGGGAATACCCAGCGCATAGGTTCAAATCCTCACTACAGTTCCTGTGGATTTTATTGTTGATATATCACAATAATGTGATTTCTCTGTGTATGAATATCTGATGAGTTTTTTGTATATCTTTATTCATGACAAAATATTTATACTTTGCAGAATCACGAAGGAGTTGTATCGATTCATCCTAAACCAAAAGCATTGTGCTATGTTAATGGTCGTGAAGTGGTGGAGCCTTCTGTTTTAAAAACAGGCTCTCGTGTCATTCTTGGCAAGAATCACGTTTTCAGATTTAATCACCCAGAACAAGGTAAATCATTATTTCATGCTGTCCTTGTTAGTTGTTAGCAATATTACTGATAATTGTTTAAGGGTTTTAAATTATGTACAAAGCTATTGCTGTCACCTTAGTTTTGTGGAGTAATCAAAGTATGTGTAATCACAGGTGCATGTTGTTCCAGCTGATTTAGATATCTTTCATAAATATTTGTAAAATTGCCAAGAGCCATTTTCAACCATCTACCACTCTGTTTATGGAGCTTTAGTTATTATTTTCCTCCCTACACTACTCTTTGTAGTGGCTACACGACAATATGAAGTTGTGTCTTCATGTTTTACATATTTTGTCTTGAGTATTCTTCTCTGTCTGTTTTCTTGCCTTCTTATAAGCTTATGCCATATTTGCATAAGAGTAAACCTTTACCAATCCTAAACTGAAAGGCACCTCTGGGACAGATGTCATACATTTAACCAAACTCATATTTACACACTTTAAAATCTTTCTTGCAACCATTCTCTACAAGGAGTTTCATTGTAAATCTCTGAGCTAGACACCCTCTTCCACATAAAACCCACCTTGTTCATCGCTGATCTATTTCTTATTTATTTACTTACTGTGTATTTCTAGTCACTATTCTATCATATATTTGTCACATAATGTCCTTGATATATTGTTTGTTTTATTACTGTACTTTGTGTGCTGGAATCAAACTTCAATTTCATATTCTAATTTAGAAGCATTGTATATTGTAAAGTTTTTGTCATATCACTATCTATCTATATATATGTACTGTACTTCTAGGTAGTCTTGAAATTTGCTAAAACTATAGTATAGAGCCTTCTTGCTGTTGCATGTATTTAGGGTGGACACAGTCTGTAATGTTGCTCTTTTATATAAGAGATATTGTACTTCATATAAAAAATCTTTTAGATGTCCTTTTGGTGAAGGATATAAAGATGTTGTACTACAAATTACTCTTGACCTTCACAGCCCGTGAACGCCGAGAAACAAAATCGCCTACCGAAACTCCAGGTTCTGGAGAGCCAGCAGATTGGCAGTTTGCTCAGATTGAGCTTTTAGAAAAGCAAGGCATTGATTTAAAGGAAGAAATGCAGAAACGACTGGTAGCTCTAGAAGAACAGTACCAACGAGAGAAAGAAGAGGCGCAGAAAGAATTTGAAAGGGAGAGAAAGGTGATTTGCTACTTTTTTTTTGTAAAATAAGAGAAGTTTTGATAATTAGTATATCTTGTGTTAGTGCTCTCCTATCTACATGATGACTATTAGATTTATATTTGTCTTCAACATCCATTGACCAGATATTATCTTTATTACAACTGTTAGTCAATTAGAAATCTTTTCCTTGGAACATCACCTTCCCATGGTGGAAAAGCTTGTGATCTCCAGTAATAAATAAGGCAACTACACCATACCAGGAAATAGGATAAAATGTTAATGCCAGAGGATTCAGCTATGACCTTTATGTTGCAGCTGTTAGTGAAATGTTAAAGCTAATAAATCAGTAGTTATGCTTACATATACGTATGCAGTTTCATACAGAAATTAGCATATACTGTAATCTTATAGTAATGCAATTGTTACCTGATTGTTTGGATATATTTCAAGTGAGAGCAGGTTGCTTCCTAAGAGTGAGAGCAAATGCCTGCTTTATCATCTTGGGCTTCTTCAGGATTACAGTATTTCAATATTTAAGTATTGTATATACAATTCTTGCAGAACTACGAGGCCAGGATCGATGCGCTTCAGAAACAAGTGGAAGAGCAGAGTATGACAATGTCCATGTATTCATCTTACACTCCTGATGACTTCACACATGAAGATGACATCTTTGGTGGGTTCCTCCATGTTCACTTTCAGCCCATTTTGACACAATTGTATTAGATTATTGGCAGTGACTACATGTGTGTGTAGCTTGGCATTATGCTAGCCTTATTACCATAATATCTTAACAGGATATTTATAAATTTAATGTTTGATATTGTCTCTAATGTGTTTAACGTACAGTATTACGCCTCTTTTACAATGTGTCCTGTGTTAAACTTAGGACATGATTTTCAGAATCTTCATACGTAAATGCAGTCTTTCTTTTTCTTTTAAATATTGGAATTTGATTGAATTATTTAATTAAGCATCTGCATGATAGATTTATTATATAAATTTGCTGTATAGTAAAAGATGCAGGCTGCATGAATATTGTCACTTGAATTATAGTGTCTATGTTGAATTGCTGTGTACCTCTCGAGATAATGGTAAAGCAGCGTTTACCTTTGGTTATTTTAATTTGCTGGTTTTGTTAAGCTTCATTTGTAACATGATAAATAATTCTACCATATGTTATATATGCTTAGAACACACATTTGCTAAGTCTTTACAGATGTATTCAGTTGTATGTAATTCAGTGCTTGTATGTCACAGTAGCAAGGATATTATGAGTCGGATTTAAGTCCTGAGGCACAGTGGTAAATGCAATCGGGTCATGGTCGAAAGATCCCAGGTTCGATTCCTGTGTCAGGACAGAAGCCTTTGGGCAACTTTTCATTTCACTGGATGCCTTTATTTCTACCTTTCACATAATTGCCTGAGAGTTTGTCACCTGTTGTGGGTTGTATCCTGAGAAGGATCAGTAGTTGGCCTGGGAGAGGGGGGGTAGGGGACCTGGAGAAGCGTATCGACTTCTAATCCCTGACTATGGGAAACCATAAGGTGAACCGTCTATAATCAAAAATGTCATTTGTTTAATAGAACACATCAACTTTACCTATAAGCTTTCCCATAAAGTATTGCCTTTTGGCATTACCGAGAAACTACTGTACTCTCATTCCACAAATGTTCTGATACCAATTAACATCATCAATGCTAGAATCACTGATTCTATATATATCACTCTTTGGCTGTATGTTAGAGAATACCAACTCCAAAAGTGGCATTGTACACAAGTAATGTTGTATTGGTGAAAATAGCTTGAGGAAATTTATAATTTACCAAAATATACAATTACTGTACTGTACTAATGAGTATATAACTTAATTGGTAAATTAAGAGACCCTATAGAATGATGTGCATTGGTGATAGAGCTTACATAGCAATTTATTTTAAACATTAATTGCCAACAGGTAATATAAAAAAAAATTAATGTGAAATTGAAAGTTGTACTCATTGCTTAACACAACACTTGAGAATATTTTTCTCCTTAGGTAAAATATTTTGGATCAGTCTGATAATGTTAATACATGCCCTTCATATAATGGGTTAATTGATGCTGTTTGATTTTTCCTTTCCTTTTTAAACTAAAGCAAAGCATCAATTTCTGCTAAACTGCATATCACTTAAAATGACCTTCCAATACACTGGCAATTGATAATGTCAAGATAGGATGAAATAGCCAAATATTTAGTGAGGATCTTGCATTATCTGCAGTGCTGACTTTAAAGGTGGTGTTTGGCTTATTTTTTTATAAACATCTCAAGAGATTTACATTAATTTAATTATATGTGCAAAATATAATTCAAAGTTATGTTTGAACTACATTGTGCCAGGAATCTACTTGCAAACAAGAACTTGCACCATGTACCTTTGCATCAACTTTGGCTCTCTATGATACAGTCTTGCAAAACCTCAGAAATGGAGAGATATTCTGACGAAATATGCGATATTTTTTTACATTAATAGCATGTTGCATCACAATCTTCATTGGTATTTACTGTTGTGAACTGAACCATATATCAAGTGTTCGGTAATTTTGTTTTCTCCCCCAGTATCCTCCCTTCTTAGAGATTATATTTAAGTGCCATACATAAGGATGGTACTATGTTGGATTTACTTTCATTTTTGAGCTGAACTGTTGCAACTTGTCTCTGGCTTTGTCAGTAATCCCTTAATGATATACTGTAATATATTTGTAATAACATTTGCAGTTTAGTTATACATCACCATCATCAGTATTACCCCCATTTCCTACTTTCGTGCAGTAGGTAGGCATTTGCCCCAAGAACATACCAGAGCAGTTTAGGAAGAGAGTTAAAGGTATTCCAGATGTCAGTCATCCACTCCTCATACCTTCTGCTCTAGACTGCTTTACAGAATGTCAGCACCACTGCATTCTAACAAATTATAACAGATCAACCACAGCAGCAGCATCTCCATTGTTGTATACTAACTGTCCAACATTGACTCGTAATGGAATACACTTAGTGTTGTGCCCTGGCACTTCACACTTGATGCATGCTTCATCGCATACAGGACACCATGAGCGTAACTCTCGTCCTTGAATTATGATTGGGCAATTACACACTCGCCATATTGACTCGTCTTTTTCATTTAAAAGGCTTATGTTTTGCTATATTAGTTCTTTTATAAAGATTTTGGTTTAGTTTGTAATTAGGAGGATTTTAGTTTTGCTCGCTTTTCTGTACATTTTCCATATATCATGGGATATACTAGTATAATGTTGAATGAGAGGATGTACTTTTCATGAACACAAGTAATTCTCCACACTAAATTTTTAAAGACTCTGACATAAGTAATGTTTATATAATACTTAATATATATATTTACAGTATTATGTTTGTAAAAAAATGTTTCTTTTATGTACAAAATTCACATTAATAAATTATTAACCAAAGCTCAATAAGTTGAAGAATCATTAAGTCTTCAGGCGGTTGAAAATTTATCTAAACATCGCAAAACTTATTATAAAATGAAATACGTTCTTGAACTCTCTTTATACCTTTTTTTCACATTAACCTGTCAGGATAATTGTCTTGCATTAACTTGCAGAAATTGTCCAAGAATGAATGAATGTTAAGATATTGAATAAACAGAAGTTGTTTCTCTCTCAAGGCTACCATTATGTAGGTAATTAAAAATATATATCTAATTTAGTTATTTATTATTATTATTACAGTATTATTATTATTATTATTATTTTATAATTTTTTTTGTCATTTTGCTGTATCAGTCCTAGAAGAACTTGATAAATAATTTAATGAATAGCAACTTGAGAATATTGTCAGAGAAATGCATTAGGACCAATATAGCAACCTAATCAAGAGCAAGACATAAATTGGTATTATTTTTAAAATTGGTTCAACAAGAATTTATTATTTGCTTTGCTCACTTCAGTCTTTTTTTTTTTTTTTTTTTTTTGTTTACCATAAGTCGTCATATTGTAAGAGTGTTGTTAGCTTGCTTCCAGTTACATCATTTCTGAAAATGAATTGAATGAAACCCTGCATGAAAACCCATACATGCTTCAAGAAGATTTTGGTCATGTTGAATTAGAAAGCAGATGAAATCCTGTGGCTTTTGATAGTGTCATGGCTAATGGACTCCTGTCATTGTGTAATGGTTAATGGACCCCCTTTAATAACAAGTGTAATGGCTAATGATTCCCTCCCCCTCCCCCCCTCCCCCTTTTAGTACTTAGCATATCCCATATATCCTTATTTGATATGCTCAGTAAGGCATCTATGTTAATTGATGAGCATATTTTCATATGACTTTCCCCTTCATATTATAATGATGATGCCAGGAAGCTGTGTAATAATGATTTTGACATGTAATTAAAAGCCCTGTCTCTGACAGCTTAATTGGTTATTGGCATTTTATGCTATAAAAGTGAGAATTTAGAACAACTGAAGCATTTTACTTTTTATATGTAATGAATTTTTTTTTTAATTTTTATAACTTCATAAATACAAATTTTCACTAACTAGTTATACTGTATTAATATTATTCATTTGCAATTTTTATAGTATTGAAACTAGTTTTTTAGTTGTCAAATAAATATTATTGCTTTGTAACGGCTAATACAGTTTACCAGTAACCATGTCACATACAGATGGATATGTCTTATTAATGTTATGTAATGATTTAGTTTCATGGTTCCATCAGTATATATGAAAAGATTTATTTTGTCTTATTTTATTTTGCCTCATGACATTTGTACTTTAGTTACTCCGCTCTTGATGGTTGCTCCATGGTCCCAATAGGAGATGGCTGGCAGGCTTACCTAATACTTTGTGTTGGTGTTTCAGTAAACCCCTTGTTTGACGCAGAGTGCAACTGGACGGAACGGGAGTATGCCTTGGCTTCCTGGTCATTCCGCAAGTGGAAGTACCATCAGTTCACTTCGCTTCGAGATGATCTGTGGGGCAATGCCATCTTCCTTAAAGAAGCCAATGCTATTTCTGTTGAGCTGAAAAAGAAGGTAAACATCTATATTTTACATTTGGGATAAATGATGTTACCTTTCAAAATGGAATGTGTGTTAGCCACCCACATCACCCCCATCCCTCAATACCTTACAGTCCACACCCACACCTTCCCACTCAAACCTGCCAACATACCCCACACAATAACCTACCATATGCACCAATTAATTTTCTCCCACATAACTTACCAACACACCCCATCCCTTCAACCTGAATCATCTATACAAATCCTCGCCCAACCCCACTATTATCACCTGTTAAATTTTGCCACACCAACCAGCCCATATCCACCCATCGCACAATCGCCCATACCCACCCACACCAGCATCCACCCATGCTGAAAGTGGTTTAAAAATGACTGTTGTAAAGTTACATACAGAAATTATAGTAAAAGACCATGTGATTAGGTTAAAAAAAAACGGAAATATCCTCATGGAGAATGACAGAAGTATAGGAAGTATTCAACAGGCGAACATGGGACAGCAGAGTACAGTAGTGATACCATACAAAAATACCTAAAAATACATATAAAAATGACCAGATTAATTCAGATTGGACACACCAAATTAGGATATACAGGTACATTTTATGAAATATATGATAAGGCCCAAAAGAATTTATACCAAAACAGATTCAGAACTAGGAAACAGGATTGGCTCAGCAGAAATTGTGTGAGGGCCAGAGACCAAAGTAGACAAAAATGGAATCGATAAAGGAAGAGGCCAAACCCTCAAACATATCAGAGATACAAAGAAGCATGAAACAACTACACGGCAGTAAGAAGAGAGGCAGAACAAAAATTTGAGTGATAGAGGATAAATATAAAACAGAACCAGGCCTTTTCTATAAATTCATTAAAAGCAAGCTGCAGGTAAAGGATAATATTCAGAGGTTGAAAATGGGAAACAGATTCACAGAAATTGAAAAGGAAATGTGTGAAACATTAAATGAACTGTTCCAAAGTGTGTTTGTGCAAAATGAAATCTTCAGAAAACTAAACACAATAAGAATTCCAGAGAACAACATAGAGCGCACAGAGATATCTAGAGACGAAGTGAGAAAAAAATACTCTAGGAGCTAAGAAAGAACAAAGCAGTTGGCCCAGATGGAGTTTCACCTTGGGTTCTAAGAGAATGCACATTTGAGCTCAGCATTTCACTTCATTTGATTTGTCAGGCATCCCTGTGCACAGGGGTTCTAGCAGATATGTTGAAAAAGGCTAGCAAAGTTCCAGTCTACAAAAGTGGCAGTAGGGAAGACCCCCTTAAATATAGACCTGTATCATTGATGAGTGTAATAGTCAAAATATTTGAAAAAATAATTAAAACTATATGGGTTGAACACCTAGAGAAAAACTATATAATAACACATACAGAGAATTCTCAATGATCCTGTGTAATGAATTTACTTAGTTTCTATGATAGAGCCACAGAGATTTTACTGGAGAGAGATGGTTGGGTTGACTGCATCTATCTGGACCTTAAAAAGGCTTTCGACAGAGTTCCACAAAAGAGGTTGTTCTGGAAACTGAAACATACTGCAGGAGTGACAGGGAGGTTTCTAACATGGATGAAAAATTTTATAGAAAGAAAAATTAGGGCAATATTCAGTGACAATGTATCGGACTGGAGAAATGTCGTAAGTGGCGTACCACAAGGTTCAGTTCTTGCACCGGTAATGTTCATAGTCAACATAAACAACCTACAAAAAAAAAATAGATTTATATGATCATGTTTGCTGATGATGCTAAGATACTAGGGGGAAGATAAGAAATTTAGTCGATTGTAAGAAGACCTGGACAAAAATAAGTGTATGGAACACCACTTGGCAAATGGAACTTAATGTTAATAAATGCATGTTATGGAATGTCGAATAGGAGAAACACACAACTTACAAATTATGTGAAAAAGCTTTAAAAAATTTTGATAAAGAAAGGGATGTAGGGGTGGTTCTAGATAGAAAACTATCACCTGAGAACTACATTGTACGAGGCGCCTATGCTAGGCTTTACAATTTCAGCATTGCTTTTAAATACATGAATGGTAAAGTTGTAAAGAAATTGTTCATAATCTTTGTGAGACCAAAGTTAGAATATGTAGCGGTTGTATTGGTGCCCATGTCTTAAGAAGCACACTCAACAAACTGAAAAAGGTGCAAAGACGTGCAACTAAATGGCTTCCAGAACTCTGAAAGATTTTTTTTTTTTATTCTTATCTTCCTTTCTTCCTGTTAATTACTCATTATTTTTTAGTAACATATCAGTCTGTAACTTTTGTAAAAAAGGCAAATGTATGTGCTATATCAAAAAGTGTCCCTTCATTTTCAAAATTCATCAGTCGATCTCCAATCCTTGTTTTACCTTTGATGGTAAATTAACAGGTTGAATCAAGCCATCAAAACATCTCTTGAGAACAACTATTTTCTGGAAGGAAGAACATAGTGTTGGCAACCTTTCAATATGAATCACTATACATTTTGTCCCTTGCTAGTTTGCATTAAAGGATGCATCTACTGTGTTACACATTTGCCTTTTTCAAATAACATAGTTTTCATATATATATATATATACTGTATATATATAAATTTGTCTATTTTACCTGTGTTTTCCAGGTTCAATTCCAGTTCACGCTCTTGACAGACACACTGTATTCGCCCCTACCTCCTGATTTTTTACCTATGATGGAGGATGAGGATGAGGAAGATGAGGATGACCGTCCTATTCCTCGTACTATTGTAGCAGTTGAAGTTCAAGACACAAAGAATGGTGCCACTCATTACTGGACATTAGAAAAATTAAGGTGTGTGTCCATTATTAGTATTTTTACCAGACTTTTCCTTGTCATGCTTTTTTTGTTTGGTGTGATTTAGTTCTTGAGATATATATTCTGTATATATATTATTTTATGTACAGTGGAACCTCGGCTTATGAATGCCCCTATTTACAAATTTTTTGGGTTACGAGCTCAATTTCTTCGTAAAATTCTATTCGGTTTACAAGCTTTGCCTCAAGTTGCAAGTTTGTTGATACACCTATGGGTCGATCAAGCATGTGGTTCCTGGTGGAACGGGCGACCGTGCCACAGTTTAACAGTGACCCCCCCTTTGTAGTGACAATCGCCCTTGAATTCTTTGTAAAGAATTTCATTGTTTTCCAGATTTTTTATTTATAAACATAAAAGTAATTATCATATACCATGCAATGGGTTCCAAGAAAGTCAGTGGTAAGTTTCAACCTAAGAAAACACCTGTGAGGATGACCAAAGAGAGAAAACAAGTCCCAATGGAAAGGTTCTTAGTGAGACAAACAAGCAGTAAGCCACAACTAGGTCCTAGTGGTATGCAGGCAAAACATAGGAAAGAGAGTACCCCAGAGAAGTCATCACTGCCTGATGTTATAATGGAAGGGGACTTCCCCTTCCAAACACTAACACATCACCTCTTCCTCCCCCCCTCCCTCCTCACCGTCTTCCATACACCAACAAGAGTCATCAATAAAGGTAAGCTATAACCTTACCTACCTTGAGGTTACCTTGAGGTGCTTCCGGGGCTTAGCGTCCCCGCGGCCCGGTCGTCGACCAGGCCTCCTGGTTGCTGGACTGATCAACCAGGCTGTTGGACGCGGCTGCTCGCAGCCTGACGTATGAGTTACAGCCTGGTTGATCAGGAATCAGGTTGATCTGTCTTAGGGAACGGATTAAATTTGTAAATGAAGGTACCACTGTATAGATATATAATATGCTGTATATCTTTATCTTTTCACCTGTACAGTGTTGCTTTAGTCTTGTTTTATTTATAATAATAGTTATTAGTCTTCTGTGTTCTGCTGAAATATGTTGTTTGGCTTTAAGATCGTTACTGCATATCAATGTAAGTTTATCTCTCTGCCTTCGTATGTCCCTTTGTATTCATAGTATATTAGTAAAATTAGTCTAGCACTATTTATCTTGTAATTTTGAGGAATGTTGTTGATTGTTCACTAAATTAGTAAATTTTCATTTAGCATTTCTTATGCTAAATGATGAATGACAAATGGAAATCCCCAAGCATTGTAGACAAAGTTTGTTCAGCATTTTGATCTGTTGGAGTCTATATTTGATTAATGTTTTTACCAAATTGGTAAGTAATATTGATTTTTGATAGCTCTAGTTGTGTTGGAAGAGAGAGCATGCACATTAAACGGTAAGTTAAAAAATGTCTTCATAAGGGTAAAAAATACTGTACTGTATCTCATTCCCAAACTTTGTCTACAATTCTGGCAGTGCTGAATAGAATATGGACTGAAATCTGTTTATCAGGATGTCATAAATATAATTAAATGGGGGATTTATAAAAATTCATTTAGACATCCTTACAGTCCAAAACTAAACTGCTTTATTGCCATGCATTGTAGACATCGTTTGGAGTTGATGCGTCAAATCTACAACTCTGACGTGAGCCCATACTCTCCGTTGCCTTCCCCACCAACGGAGCCCCAAGGAGACGAGGAGGTGCAAACCTGCATACCAGCGTGTAACCAGGCCAGACTCTCCCTGTCCCAGCTGCTGCCTTCCAGGCTCCAGAACTCCCGCATGTTAGTGTTGATTCTCTGACCCAGCTCCTGAGACTGTATGCATCATGCTCTGATACTCTGATGCATGGTTATGGGTGTTTATCCGTGCATTTTATGCCAAAGTTTACTGAGAAGCAGTTTGCATGAATCCGACACAAGAAGAAGATAATAATAGTTTGTTTTGTTTTACGTTTATATGCATGAGGTAATTGTTAGTGGAATCCATTCCTACTGTAATGAAGTACAGTAGTGTATTAATATATTTTGTATTGTCTGACTTTAATTTTGTTATAAATTGAATGTTATTGTTTTTTTTTTGTTTTTTTGTAAGATGTATTATACATGTTGACTACTCCTAACAAGCTTTTAACCAAATTATTTCATGTTCATTTTAACTTACCATGCACTTGTTCATATCCTCTCTACTCTGTACTGACTCATATTGCCAGCTAAATTAAAAAATAATCCTCATTTAATATTAACCATTTCATTTCAATTTCAATTTCTTTCTTTCTTATGCACCCCATACCCATCCCGTGGGCAGTGATGGAAATGGTTACAGAGGCACATAATCGGTTCAGGAACTGAACCACATAGTTCATTTAGCTAAGCAAGTAACAATCTTTTGAAGCTAGTTACATATTGTTAATGTTATATATACAATCATTTACACAAATACATATACACATCGATAATCTTCTGTATCACAAGTAATTCAACAAGAGGCTCACAGCAGTCACTATATAAGGCACTTTACATCTATGTCACACCGTTACTGGTCTTGCTCCACACCCACCCAACTGGGCAGCAGCTTTACAGTTATGCATGCATTACCTACAGTATGCAAATTTTGGATACTTTGCTAAGATTCCCGGCAGTATATCGTATATCATCGTGAATGAATTACTTAGATTTCTTGGACTCCATTGATAGTGTCCAAGAAATGTGTAAGTACTTCATTCATGATGATATACTGCCAGGAATCTTAGTGAAGTATCCAAAATTTTCATCATTATATTATATTATTAGGGACCTAATCTTACACCCCAGTGATATTGCCTGTGCTGTATGGTTTCTTAATTAGAAATAAAATTAGTTTATTTTTGCTTAACTATATTTTATCCAGTATAAATATCTTTTACATTTGGTGTTTATAATTTCTGTTTTTCCCCTCTAAATTCTATGAAAAATACTCTTGTATAATGTATCCTTATGATCATATTTTTATCTAATTTATCCATTCCTATAAAGTACGTTCCTCACTTCTGATTCTTCTTTCTAATTCCATCAGTAAGGGATTACTATTATGTGAGGTTTGCCATTGCCTTTTATAATTTTCTGTATAAAACTGTAAAGTTAAGAACATTTTCATAAAGGAAACTGTAAAATGCCTATAGAACCTTACAAGACAGCTCCTATTTCCATCCACCTTAAATCATCCATATATACCACGCACTTGAAACAATACATTGATCTTATGTTTATTATGTTATCCAGTAATTTGTTTCATAAACTTGAAAATACATTTTCCCTACCAGTATTTACTGTAATGAGAAAATTTTTCTTGAGATAAATTTAGTAATACAGTAACTGCAATATGTTAACATTGCTATACAGATTCATACACTTGCCCTCCTAACATTCCCATACAAATTAAAATGATCTGTATATAACCAAGTATAATAATTACACACCACTTGCACTGCAACTGTAGAGGAGGGAAGAGTGACCACACGGGAGGAGGGAGAGTGATCGCATGGGTGGGGGGAGAGTGGACGCACGGGTGGGGGAAAGTGGACGCACGGGTGTTGGGAGAGTGGACGCACGGGTGGGGGAAAGTGGACGCACGGGTGTTGGGAGAGTGGACGCACGGGTGAGGGGAGGGAGAGAGACCACATGGGAGGAAGGAGAGTGATTGCACGGGTGGGGGGGGGGGAGTGGACACACGGGTGGGGGGAAGGGAGAGTATGCATGCTTAGATGTCAAGTTGGTATGTGCATGGATAACTGAGTGAGAGTACCTTCATCAAGTACAGCTGCGTAATCATACTAGGCCTAAATAAGATGCAACTGAGCCTCAGCACATGTGTGTGTACTCCAACCCCCCCCCCCCACATCTTAGCTGCATTCTTGAAATTTGTATAAACTGAAGTTTCACAGCAGACTTACATTTTGCACTCAAACTATTTAGCAGTTGTTTTACTATTATTACAAGTTATTAGTGGAAATTGTAAGTAATAAAATAGCAAGATTACATTAATATTCTTAGTCTGAAATAATAATGCTCATACAAGTGTAAAGCAAGAAGGTACATGATGTTTCTTTATAAAACAGTCACGTACTGAACATTAATAAGTTTTGAATCAAGATTATTGATGAATAGTATTCTGATCACCTATACAGTTTTATCTTTAATATGTAGTACAAATTGCATTGCTGAATGTAAACATTCTCTATTGCCTCTTTACTTTATAATACAGATACTGTATACTAAAAGAACAATTAGTATGTTTATTAGAAAGCTTTATATATCTAGCTTAGTAATGCTTATAACCATGAACATTTGCTTCAATTTTGTCTTTAATCATTACTGAAATATGCTTTGAATATGCTAGGATGGATATGTATTCTAGCTACTTGCATTTAGGTACCCCCTCCCTAAGATAAAACTATACGTGTCCTTTGGACAAGGAACATGACAGTCTGGCTGGTGTCATTTTTTTTGTGCCATGTGGGAGCATAGAAGTCACCCATCATGATCCTTGTCTCGAGGGCAAAGTGTCATAAGACATTATACAGGGCCACTGTAGATGTACAGTAGCCTATTAGGAAGCCTGTCAGGCCCATTGAATTTCCTTAGACCAACAACTGGCTTTTTCCAGGATACTACCCACATCAGTTGCCTAACTTCCGTGTGTCTGTTTACTGCTAGGTAAAGATAGGCATGAATTTTCTGAATTTCTTTATTATGCACCCCCATACCCATTCCGTGGGCGGTGGTGGAAAGGGTTACAGAGGCGCACAAACCCCACAGCTCATTTAGCTAAGCAATTAACAATCTTTTGAAGCTAGTTACAGAATTGTTAATCTTATATCACAAGTGATTCAATATCTTAGTGTGAAAAGTGATATTACTTAATTACATTGTCAATAACACGACATTGACATATTCAGTATTACAAGTACAATAATATCTTTTTATATCACAAGTGATTCAGTGAAAGGAAATGTAGCCAAATGGGAATTGAACCTGGAACCTTTGTGTTGTAAACTGACTGCGTTGGCATCATCATGATGTGTGTGAGCATGCCTACATTTACTGATAAAGTCTGCGTATCCTTGTACTTGTACTTTTGAATTACAGCACTTGTTTGTGGGTGATGCACAACAGTGGGTGAGCTCCTGATAGCATTCACATTTTGTTTATAGTTCTCTAGAACTGACCAGTGACAGTGTTCACTCTGCACTGGGGTGGCCAGCTCGTGCTACACCCTGTATGTATTGTTTACACACTGTTAAGTACCTCAAGTCATGCCTTGTCTGGAGCTTGGCTTTGCATGCCATCTCTTGTTGAATGTAGAATGTAGACATGGTTAGGATAGAGCTATACTTGGAGCCCATTCCTTAGCAGCGAGGCTATTATCTTAACTTATATGGTAGTTGATAGACCTGATAACCTGCTTAGGGTTTTTGGTACATTTTCACTATGTTTTTCCACTTTTTATTTGGTGTTATAAAGATACCGTATTGTTGGCAAGATGCTGCCATCTGTTGGTGGTTAGGCATACTGTGTTTCTGGGCAGACAGTGGGCAGGTGGGTAGAGATCTTGATTAGTGGTCTTGTTTACTCGAAAGGAAGAACTTGTATGGCTTTGAGTTTGCATTCATTGTATCTGTTGTGTGTATTTCATGGCAAGATTGAGCTCATCTTTTGTGACCAGGAGAACTTGTTGTTTTTTAAAGTTCTCCTGGAGAGCATTCATAACCCACAGGAACTATGCTAAATGTTTCCTGTCAAGGGTAAGCAACAGATTTTACCACAGGGGCTAAATAAAGATGTTTTTCATGTTATTAGTTGTAGAGAGAGATTTACTGATGTTATTATATCTAAACCAGACAGCGGTTGGAGTTAATGAGAGAAATGTACCACAACGAAGCTGAGCTGTCGCCCACTTCCCCGGATTACAACATTGAGAGCCTCACTGGGGGAGATCCATTCTATGATCGCTTTCCATGGTTCAGGCTTGTTGGCAGGTACGAATATATTCGTATTTCTTATAAAATAACTTAAAATAATAGCAAAGAATTAAGTATTAAGCCAGTAATAGTAATTATATTATGCATTCATGTAAAGATAAAAGCTGCATATACAGTACATAAATTAAGTTATTGCATTGCAAATGCTGTTTGTTTTATCAGATAATTTTATATCCAAAGCCTTATAGCTTCTTAATCATTCATCATATTTGCTTGTGTTTTTATTATGTTTTCCTTCATCATTATTTAATAAAATAAGTCAAACATTTTATCACAACAGGCTAATTGTCTTTATACCCCTAATTTGATTTTGAGCTATTCATCTTGTAAATCTCAATGTCTACTTCCACATCTTGCTAACAGCTAAAAAACCTGAATGGGAATTATTACCAATTACTCGGAGATTCGGGATTACAGGAATCCGAATTATCAAGCTGTTGCAGTACATATTTATTATTTGCTATTATCATGATACTGTACTAATTTAATGTTAATGTCAGTGACCTTGGTGCTGAGTAATGATGATAATGTTTAGGGCATTAGACAGAGTAATGATAGTTTTTGATGCCAGGGCTAACTAATAGTTTTGCAAATTGTTGTAATCTTACTTGTGTCAAGTTTGCCCATACAGTGCACTGTGCTTTATATCAAGTACAATAGCACACACACACACACATATTGAAGTGGTGAATGGGTAGGTACTTGCTGTTGTTTTTTTTGTGTGAATATTATCTGAATATAGTACGCTTGCCTAACTTGGTGTGTATATGTTGAAAACAGGACATTAAGATGCTGTTAAATTTTTATTCAAGCCTGTAGGGTGTTGCCTTATTGTTTCACTAGCCTAGTGGGATATTCCATGGGTAACTTCTAATGCCTCCACAATCCTTAGATTAGATAAACTGTTCATTGCAGAGACAATACTAATATAGATGAACCAATTGTAATTTCCCAGCTATTTTTACAATATGGTCATACGATGCAGAGCTTCTTTAAAAGCGGCATATATTGCAGGTACAATCTCTACGTTGGTTCCAATTCAACAGTGATACTAAAATACAATTTTAAGAAGCAATACAGTACAATTTTAGATTGACTTCATATTTACTTCAAGTTTGTTTTAGGTAAAAGTTATAAGCTATCATTACCATAAAATTATTCTCTATACTAATTATATACTTACAGAGGGTTTCTGTACCTAAGTAATCTACTGTATCCTGTACCATTGGTACATCGTGTTGCCATTGTCAATGAACGAGGTGATGTCAAAGGCTACCTAAAAGTTGCTGTACAAGCTGTTGTTGGTAAGTAATTAACCAATTTTTTACACATTGTTGTTTTATGTGTCACTTTCTGCCATATGCCATTTATATACCTGTATAAATAAATAAATAAAAAACTCAAAGCCTTATTTTTTCCTTTTAGCCACAGAAGAAGATGCAGTTGAAATTGCACAGCCTGCTGGAGTGCGACAGTCAGCAAGAATATCTTTCAATGAAGGAACGTTTAAAAGGCCACGGACAAAACGAGGATCACTCTCTGCTCAGGTGTTAGAGAAAAACACAGCTGCAGCTGCTGAGGAAGAACGCATAGTTGAGGGACAAGTCAGCTCGGGAGATATTATAAAGCTAGAAGGTCAGTGTCATATAGTAATGATATTGCTTTTCTTTTAGACTTTTAAGAAAGTAACTTCCTAATTTTACCTGATTTACTGAGTAGTTGAGTACGTACAGTAGTTATTAAATTTCTTCATGATGTATATTGTCACATTAGTGTAAAACCAATATATAGTACAGTGTAAGTAAACTGATGTTTACAATGCTGATAAGTTTTATTAGTAAATCAATTGAGTTTGTCTAAATTTTATTGCATTCTAGCTATGTTTTTGACAATTCCACAGATGAGGTGTGTGAAGTAGATAGTGGTAGAGGAGACAGTAGTATTAGTTCGTGTGAGAGTGGGAGAGATGATGACCTTCCACCTCACCTTCATATTGGACAAGAATTTACTTTCCGCGTAACTGTACTTCAAGCCTTCGATGTCTCTACAGAATATGCCGATATATTTTGTCAGTTTAAGTGAGTTATCTCTAGTTTTCTTATTGTCAATTGCATAATGAACACAAAAGCAAATTTATGTAGTACTATATACATTTTGTATGATGTTTGACATATCATTAACTTGTATCTGTAAGTGCTGTACACTGTGTTTATATCCTGCCAAATAACTAGATATAAGTGTATGATTATTGCTGTAATCTTTGTATTAGCTTTCTCCATCGTCATGATGAAGCCTTCTCCACTGAACCAATAAAAAATACTGGAAAGGGACCACCACTTGGTTTCTATCATGTACAAAATGTAAGTATATGCTGTGTATCAGTTTCAGAATAAGCAGTATTTTATACTGAATTGAATATTTAATCCAGTGAGATGTTGAAGGTAGTTGTTAATGTGATTAATGTATTTTCCTTATTATTTTGTGTGTGTGATGTGAGAATAACTTCATAATAATTAGAAATAGCTATTAATTATATAAAGAAATTTGCACCTCAATTCAGTATTACCCATTTAAAGAACTTTATTATTACAAATTGAGGTACAAACATAACATTGTGTCAGCTATAAATAAATTACTAAGATACATGAAAAGAAAATATTAATTAAAAAATGCAAATTGATTTAAGATAATTCTCAGTTTGAGACTAAAATTCTAGAGTATGATTGTTCTCTGGTGCATCCAAAAAAATAACACTAAACTTTAAAAACAAAAAAAAATGAATACCGTCTGATAAAGAAATTTGTTTGACTCGACACTTTCTAATGGTTGGATGGTTTTGTGTGGTATCATGTTCTATCTATGCATGAAAATTTGTGTATGGAAATCTGTGTATAAGAGATTTTGTTACCTGGTTGATACCTGGTTGATGGGGTTCTGGGAGTTCTTCTACTCCCCAAGCCCGGCCCGAGGCCAGGCTTGACTTGTGAGAATTTGGTCCACCAGGCTGTTGCTTGGAGCGGCCCGCAGGCCCACATACCCACCACAACCCGGTTGGTCCGGCACTCCTTGAAGTGCCGGACCAAGTTGTTGCATTTGTGACTGGTACAGTATCAGGAACTGTTTCCTATCCATCTTCTCAGATCCCTTCATTTTCTTGTAGGTGACAATCTCACATGTATGTTTTGTGGCTTAGATATATTCAGTGTCTCCAGTCTTTCCTCAATCTTATACTTCTTACCTCCAGGAGCCATTTAATGCCTGCTTTTGGAATCTTTTCATATTATGTAGATAATTTTTATGGTGTGAACACAGGTTCACAGCTGTAAATTTCAAGTTTGGCGTCCCATAAAAATTTTTGAAGAATATACAAAAAATATTGTGACCATAGAATATTATTGATAGGTGTGAATATTTATTAATGTTCAGGATTAAGTATTGTGAGTAAGTTTTGTATTTAGTATCTTGCTCAAGGGAGAGGGTGGGTGATAAGGTTCTTAATGGGTTAAGGCATATTAAAGAACTTTTCAATTTCAAGGTTTAAAATATAACCGATTATAGATGTGTTTCTTAGAAATTAATTTATCTACAGTCATCTAAAATTTTTGCATTACAGCAAGATTTGTGCAAGTTAGTAACCAATAATACATTCTCTGCTATATACTATACAATGTATATTTCCTAATCACATTTTAATAAACATTTTTGCATGACTCCTGAATCCTTGCCTTCTTACATTCGTTTACATTTTTAGATTACAGTAACAGTAACTCGAGCATTCCTAGAATATATCAAAACACAACCCATCGTATTTGAAGTATTTGGCCATTATCAACAACACCCTCTACACCGTGATGCCCGTCAAGATGCCACCCATTTGTGAGTGTATAATGTGTGTTTTTTATTGGATTACATTTGACCTTGTGGAATTCAGATGATCATTATACTGTAATTTGCAAGATATTCAAAAAGTCACTTCTGTCACAGAAATAAATACCATTTGTCAAACACAGTTGATGGTTTCATTATTTTAGTCACTTGCCTCTTAAAGCTACTCGCACACTGTAGATGTGCAGTACTCTAGTATCACCTTTTCGTATTTGTCTAGCATTTTATATAGCTTAAGGTGTATTACATCTTTATACACTATGCATATTCATTGTGTGTGTGTGTGTGTGCAGGAGTATATATAGGTATAATATAAGTACAGTACTGTATATAATATATATATATATATATTTAATATGCAGTAAACAACATGATATTCTTTACAAAATGGCGCTTGACACTCTCCACATAATAGATTTCATGGGATAATGAAATGATCCATAAGAAATATATACAAAATAATAATTTCTGATATTTCATTTGGAGGTTTCCTAAGGCAAGATATACTTGTCCCATTGGACAGAATCATAATAGTCAAGTTCTTTGCCTCAAGCTCAGTCAAATTTTTCCCCGAATGATCCTCATATCAATTGGAGAGGCTCATGGCCGAATTCAATTAAATGCCCTGTTTTCATTTGTAGAATCTTTGGTTTCACTGCAGTAGTAGTTTTCTATTATTTCTATCAAGTCCTTGATTGCTGGACTCAATCAAGGACTTGAGTCCAGCATCAAGTCCTTGGCAAGAGACAGAGAAGCATTCACAAATGTAGCATAATCTTACTGCATAATTTAAATAAATTCCTTAAAGTTAATACAAGGCACTGGGCTGTCTCACTGAGAACTTGTTACCAAGTCAAGACAAAATGTGAGATTCTGGGATTTGGAATCCCAGAATCAAGTGGGGATAGCTCATAAAATAGGCTTTGAATGTACAGTATATAAAAGTGAATTTCTGAGCCTACCCTGTTTGCAGTTTTCTTTTTCAGGAATAATGTGAAAAGGCTTTGCTAGCTTCTGTAGTGGTTCAGGTGTTTCTATCTAGTGTCAAGAGTTGTAGGAAATAGGCAAGTCAACTAGTAGTTTATTAAGAGGGCTTTTTGGCATTCACACAGTTGCCAAGGAGGGCATTTTAAATGAAGGATTCTTTAGTGTGTATGATTTTAGCTTTCTACAGCTCACTTTAGCTGGATGATATCCTCAAGGACTTCCTTGTACAAGTATCACCCTGTTGGAATGTTTTGCAAAGTTCCCTGTGGCTTTGAATGTCACCCTGCTTGATTTGCTCTCCCATTGACAGTTGAATCTTACCTTAGGGGGCAATCAAATGATTCTGCTAAAAAAGGCACATTTCATGTAACAAATTTTCAGCCTATTTTTTTCTCGATACCAAGCATATTTTAACTTCCTTCTGAGGTGTCTGTCGAAGAACTTGTCAAAGTTATGCTAGAGTTTTATCCATTGCGAAGGAAGCATCTAGATATTTATTTATAAGATGTAAAGGCAGTTCAACTCCTGTATATCTAAGGCATGTCAAAATAAACAAGAATTTTATCTGGGGTCTGCCCGAAACATATTCATCCAGATAATAGGTGAATTATCGAAAAGGGACATTTGTAGATATCTGGTGGATTTTAATAATTGGTGTTTGGATACCATGTTGTTTACTGTAATACATTATGTGTATGAATGAAAGTTGCTTCAGGTTTGAAGTTGTTGTTGTTAGTGCAACTATATCATTGCTTTTATCATACAGTAGTTCTAATTGCACTGCATGTTGTACTGAGCATTTTAATACTTTTATTTTGTATTTTATGTATCTGAAATGCATGAATTCCTCCTTAAAAATTGTATGTTTATTAATACTGTAACATGATTTCATAAGCTAATATAGCATGAAGATTTTATTTAATAAAAATATTGAATATGCCAAGATAAGACTCTGGCTGCAATGCCATTTGTGCCTTAAAAATATATCTTTCTTGTATCTTTCCAAATGTGCTTCTTTTGGGGTAATTGGGCTTCAGACATCTCTTGTTGGCTTCAAGAATTTATAAGAACTAAATATTGCTCACTACCACAACTTAACTGTTTAAAAGCATTGTCAGTAAAGTATGTTTTATCAAAAAATGATTAGAAGCATGCAGCCTAAGGGAACACAAGGGAAATAAGAGAACATTTCTTTCATTAATGAAGGAACATCATAACCCTAAATAAGAGGAATATCTTAATTCCATGATTCCATAATAGGACTCTATGGTTTAATTTTTAATCAAGAAGGCTTTCTGACTATTCCATTTCAAGGTTTTCCCATTACTAAATTTTCTATAGGCTGTCTTTAAGGTTTGCACATATGCACAGTATGGTAAAATTCCATGTATAGGAGGAATTCTCCTCCCAGCTTCAGGCTGAATGACTCGGGTGGAGGGGCTCGGCATATTGCCTGCTTTTGTCAGTATCTACAGCTACAACACTGCTTAAGAAGGGATGTTGAGTGAAGCTGAATGAGCCTTCATGAGGTCATTCTGCACTGGATTGAGAACCCTTTGAGTTTTCCTTTGCACTGGTATGATTCAGTGGGAGCTTATTTGTAAAATTTCAACTGCACCCATGCAAAATGTTCACCTTCACTTGCATGAAAAAACAACCAAGTACATTTCTCAAAAAAAGCTTTTCATCTACACAAAGCATTATTGTTAATGTTTGGTTAATTCTTTTCCCATCTTATGTGTGCTTTTTCTTCATGCTTGTTCATCCTGCATGCCACTCTAATATGGATTGGTGTGCTATCCTCAACTTATCTGGCTGCTTGATGGTGTGATGGCACTGATATGGGTGTTTTATGGCTGGATTTTTGCTGTATGGTGGTTCTTCAGCTTACCCCCTGGCATGGTACCTCCCGGCAGCTCTCGAGCTCCACCGAAGAGGATGCAGCCTCCCGCCATCCCCATCAGTCAACCAATACGGTCACCAAAATTTGGTGTCGTACAGAGTCCTTCTACCTCACATGTACATGCTCGGCATGATCTCCTCGTCTGGTTCGAGATCTGCGAACTAGGTAAGATTTTCATATCTGTACGTGTTCCTTTTGATCTCATTAAATAATTTGTGCTTGTGTAGTGACATTTAATCTCAAGGAGTGTACCTGGAAAAACATTAGTACATTTCTGGAGCATTTAGTCAGTGTTAAACAAGTGATTAACATGTGATGAATAATGTGACAAGGTTTGACCATGAAGGAAAACATGACAAGAAATTCCGTAAGTATTTTGTATTAGTCAATATATCTTCATAAGGATCCTTATGAAGATGTATTGGCTAATATAAAAGTACTTAAGGTATTTCCTGTCATAATTTTCCTCATGGTTAGACATTACTTAATATATAGAACAAACCTTTTTGCTTTTATACATTTAAAAATTAATATTGTATCATGTCAAAGAATTAAACCCTAAATTAACCATAAGTACAGTACCTGTAACTCACAAAGAGCAAAGTTTCTCGGAGAATAATTAAGGTAAGGTAAGATAATTATCAGGAGAAAGTACAGTGGAACTTCGAGTGATGAGCGCCTTAATCTACGAGCATTTCGAGTAATGAGCGCGCCACTCGGCGAAAATTTGTCACGATTGACGAGCTTTCGCTTGATTAACGAGAAAAGCACATGGTGCTTCCTAGCATTCCTGTTGGTTCTTGCAAATTCTCGGACACCTCCGAAGATGCAAATAATTTTAAAGATGCTAATGATGATGGGATGTAAAGGGGTGACTGCTGTAATGTTGCAAAGCATTGATTTTTGTTTTTTAGACAAAATTTGAAAAAAAAAATGAAAAATTGAAAAAAGAACAAATGTCAGAAAGGTTCATTCAGCGAATGTCAGGTAGGCTGCTACATTTTCTAAAAAAAAAAAATGAAAAAAATTGAAACAAGACAAATGTCATAAAGGATCGTTCAGTGTATGTCAGGTATGCTGCTCCATTATTTAAAAAATCTAATATCATATTGATTTTTTCGGTGGTGGAACGGATTAATTTTATTTCCATTATTTTAAATGGGGAAATTCGTTTTGAAAGACGAGTGTTTTGTATGACGAGCTCGTTGCTGGAACGGATTAAATTCGTTAATCGAGGTTCCACTGTACTAATCCAGTACAACTATATAGCTCTCGGAAGGGATGTGAGGATAAGGATTTAGGATAGAACAAGGGAAAGGAAAAGTGTCTAATCACTTGGATCGTTGGGAATTGAGCACCAACCTGCAAGTAGCGAACCCATCTACTGTCCTGTCCAAGTTGTTGGGCTAGACAACAACTAAGTACCACCACACGTCAGCAAATTACCCACAGAAGCAGCATTCCAGTACTTCATGAGACTAGGTGCATAGCACTTCTCATTAGTCATCATACATAAACAAAATACTTTGTGTCACTTCATAAACTACTGCTACCTAGTGAAGTTCCCCATCACATCCCATTTTCTGTTGACAGCATACAATATCTGGTTCCTCACACATTCACTATATCTACCCATCTCAGCTTCCTTCTTTTTGTGACCTCAAGTTCACTTGATTACTCACACTTCATCAGTATATCATTATTCTTTAATATGACCGAACCATCTTGACACTCTTTATTCTTGAAAATGTCATAGCAGCCCTGTGGATGGTACTTAAAGATATATAATTGTCAAAATATCTGGTGAACATTGTGGGAATAGAACTTATGATTGAAATTTGTTTAGCCATGCATGATTCAAGATCCAGTGGAAGACTTGTTTGCTTGTGCTGCTATTCCCTTGAATGTATCGTACATATCTGGTGAAGAGATTCTGCGTAATCAAATTCATTGCTATGGGAGATACTAGTGTAGTGGTGCCACATACAGTGATTAGATGGGTACAGCGAGTGGATCTAGGAAAGTGTTCGCTGATGTTTTTATATTGTTAATGTTGTTTTATATAATAGGGTGTATCCTTAGCCTTAACCACTACTGTATAGGAACACTGGGAATGGGATTTGGAGGGGGCACTAGAGAAGGATTTTAGAGGTCATAAGAGATGGAATGTGGAGGAGTAAATAGTGAAGGTACATTATCCAGCTTGTCCCACCCTATCCAGGTGTTTTATCTAGGCCTACTAGCTTACAAAGCAAGTCTGTCAACCACTGCATGTCATGCAGTGTAAGATATATATTGTGCCTATATATATTAAATGAAGGTTATATGTGCTGACTTTCATAATTGTTATTGCCATGATAAATATTTGGTACAAATTGACTGTACTTATATTAATATAACTGAAAGAAACTGTAATAGAAATCCTAATTGCTGCAACATGTTTGTGGACACAGTATGGATATTGCTGGAGCACAGAGATGCCTCTTTGTGCATCTTTAATGTGCGTCACATTTAAACACCGAAAGAATAATTACACTTCTGGTGCCTAACTCTATTAACTCATTCCTAGCAGTACTTGCTAGGAGAGGTCAGTGGAACTGGTGACGTCTAACTCCATACTTGAATTCAATTGTAAATACAGTTTGAGAAACCAAAGGGAAAAGAGGATCAGAAACTGGTTGAGAAGTTGAAGTGCATTCCACACAAGTAGTCTGAATAGTATACAGTATATAACAGCATGTTAATCTGATATGATTCTTGCTCCATCCAACTATACTTTATTATTCATATAAATTTTATATTTAATATATAAATATATTCAGCTCCTTTTCTGTACAAGTGAAATTAAATATTATCATTACTTGTTTCATCAACAGCACCGAGTGGAGAATATGTCCCAGCAGTGGTTGAACATGGGGATGATCTGCCATGCCGAGGGCTCTTCCTCTTACATCAGGGTATCCAACGTCGCATTCGCATTACCATTGTACATGAACCTTCCCATGATCTGATATGGCGTGACGTAAGAGAACTTGTTGTTGGTAAGTAATATAAAATAAATTTAAAACTTTGAAGAGCTTTTAGTAATTTTCTAATTTATCTTCAGTTTCTTTTGACACTTGAATACTCATTTCTCACATTTTTATAGCAATGTTTCTTGTGTGACCTGCAGTCTATTTTTTCCATTTCTGTCTGTATCTGTCTTTCTATCTGTCTCAATTATGCCACCTAATTTTGGCCTTGGAATTTAACTCTACTCCAACAACAGGTAACCTGACATGAGATTATACTCTTTAAGTACTTATGGAATTACCGGTAGTTTTTCTCCTCCAGCAGAGGACCTAACACTGGATTATAATATTCATTTCCTATACAGCTTGATGTGTTCTATCATTTGCTGAAACAAAACCCTTAAATATTTATATTTAGCAAAGTGCAGTACTGTATTTCAGAAGGTGGAAAGGATAGAAAATGAGATATATTAGTAGCAAAAATTATAAATAACAGCAAAAATGATTATCTTCAATTTCAAATAATCATTTAGAGCTTAAATTATATTTTAACTTTTCTATGATGTGGATTTTTTAAATATTTTGTAGCTTACCCCATATCATTGAATTTTAGGTCGCATTCGTACAACTCCGGAAAGCGAGGATGACAATAATGATGCCTCAGTGTTGTCTTTGGGCCTGTTCCCGGGAGAGTATTTAGAATACCCTGGTGAAGACCGCACCCTCTTCCGTTTTGAAGCTGCTTGGGATTCCTCTCTGCACAACTCCATTATGCTGAACCGTGTAACACCGCCAGGAGAACATGTATATATGACCATATCTGCCTATTTAGAGGTACTGTATGTTTCTTTTACGTTGTTGGTACTTTAAGCCGTTTACAAGTATGATTGCTATTGGCTGTAAATGAAAAAATACTGAGACTATATAAAAGAATGTTTATTATATTAATATTAAAAAGACAGTACAAATTTGTTTAAGAGAATTGTAGAATAAATGAGAAGATGACCGTTATGATCAGTTTATTTCAGGAATATATTTTAATTCCTGTATCAGGATTAGTGTACTACTATTGTTGGAAATTATATGCAATATATAAACAGAAGTATTGAATCAATAAATACCACATTTTTTTTTTATTTGTTTGGCCATTAATAGTTGTTATCTTCAGATACATTCATACAGGCACTTCTCTGTAGACTGGCTGTTCTACATGTGCTCACATCCCCACATTGCTTTTGGGATTTTTACCCTTTTTTTTTTATCCTTACATCAGCCCTTTTGGGATTTTTACCCCTTTTATTTATCCCTACATCAACCCTTTCAATGCTTTCTGTGTGATATTCTATTCCCAAAAGCATCATTCATGTATTTATTACTTGATTTCATTTTAAAGAAAATAGTAGGTAGGGTAATTATTTATAAGCAAATCATCTTGCACCATTTGTTAACAATAACAGTTTCCATAACTGCTTTCAGATGTTCAGTATTTCAAGGAATAGAGCTCATCCTTCAGTTTAATTGTTATTCTTTTTGCATTTCAACTAAATATTATGGTCATCCCAGATCCAATTAACTCATTTTACTTATTCATATATTAGTTTTATTACAAATTACATATACTGTACCTTACAAATTAAATCATTTTAATTTTACTATAATTACCTAAGTGTAGTTACAGGACGAGAGCTACACTCGTGGTGTCCCGTCTACCCAGCAGTCTGTCGTATAATACTTTGAAACTACTGACGTTTTTGGCCTCCACCACTCTCATTTAACTTGCTCCAGCCATCTTGTACACTGTTTGCAAAAGAAAACTCTCTAATATTTTTTCAACACCTTTGTTTCCTTAGCTTGACTCTATGACCTCTTGTTCTTGAGGTCTTCGCTTTTAAGAATTTGTGTGTGTATGTGTGGGGGGGAGGGGGGGGGGATAAGAAACATATGTGAAGGGGATAGATAGTTTAGTAGGAAACACTAAGTGTAGGCCTCAATTGACAAATGTGCTGTGTGTGTGTGTGTGGTGAATATGGTGTAGTATTCTAATCTTGTGCACAAAATGTATTTACTTAACTTGCTTTGTCATTGAAGATTCAGCTTGAGTGGGATATGAGGCTACATGACACCTGATTTACCTCATTCATTTATAGAGAAGCAGTTTTATATAAGGTATTTGAAAAGATCAATCTTAGTTATTTATATCCATTTACTGTATGTAACTTATAATACTTATTTATTTTTGGCAGCTTGAAAACAATGCACAGCCAGCCATAATTACCAAAGACCTGTGCATGGTTGTTTATGGTCGTGACTCTCGAACAATCCCACGTTCCCTTCGTCACATCTTCAGTGGCTCTTACAAGAATGCCGAGGCCAACAGGATATGCGGCGTTTATGAGACGGTGCTAAAGCGCGCAGCTGAAGCAGGTAGCCCAGGTTTGTGGTTTAGTCCTAACAGATGTAGAGAGGTGGTCAAGGGCCGCCCAACCTACCCAGAAGCCTGGTATTTGAAAAAAACCTGCCCATATTTCTTTGTGGGATTTTGGGGGTGGGAGGGCGGCTGTTTCTATGACTGGGCCACCCTGCAACCACCACTGCTTCTTCAGCTACGGTATGCTGCCTTGCTGCTCCCTACCTGCCACTTGCCAGTACCTCTACTAAACAATTTGTATTACTTTTTAATTAAAACTTATTTGTCAGTTCATTGAGGTTCAGATAAAATACAGTATATATCAACTATTTCAACATCCCAGTGTTTTGTACTAAATAATTGTCAGTTATATGATCCCATGGCTTACGATATATGCCCATTGGAGTATCGTAGCTCAATACTGCATTAGTATATTGCTCTCAAGTTCATGTTTAACGTAACAAAATGCCTCTTGTGGCATATTGAACATGAAGTTTTCATGTCCATACATTCTTTTTACACAATATTCAAGATCACAGTATATAAGTTTTCACAGTATATTCAAGAACAGTAGCTGATGTCCATATAAAAAAAAAATGTACATATATCCACTATTAATATAGTATTTTTTTATTAATAAGAATTTATAAATAAAAGTGAGTGGAAGATATAGATAAATGTAATGGTAGCATTAACAAGTTTAGGTAAATTTTCTAGTACATAAATAAGGCTCAAAGTGTAGCTTTATTTCTTTACTGTTAAACTGGAGGAAGGAGAATTATTACATATCAAGTTAAGCACTTGGTGCTTGGCTATGACACTGTAATAACTTGTATGAAATTGATCTAGTTCACTGGAAATATGAGAGAACATTGGAGAATTAATGGATGAATTAGAGTTGATGGGTAGTAATTATCTAAGTGTAGTTACAGTGTGCGTGAAGTGAGAAGTGTTGTGACTTTAGGCATTGTATGTACTAGCTCTATCTATAAATCCATCAACTTTTGTATCTTACCTTGTATGTATGTACTTTACCTGAATAAATATTTGTATTTGTAGTGCCGAAGACACTACAAATAGTCTCCAGGGCACCTCGTGTGTGTGTGTGTGTGTAATGCACGCCAGTAGTGTAAGCAACTGCAGTGGACATGATCTACCTCAATCCTTATGGATTAATTCTTTTTCTTTTTCAGTATTATTATTATTATTATTATTATTTTTATGGTTATTATTAACATAATTACATATTTTAAACAAAATGTTGTACTGTATATTGAATTTATTTTTTATCATTATTCTAATTTGCTGGAATAAAGAATATATAGATCATAATAAGGGAATCCTAGCCCAAAAAACAACACACGAAGTGACTTAAAAAAATAAAAGTACAAAATTGAAGTAAGATGAACATTACAGTTCTCACTAACTTGACATTATCCCGCCAAAAGCTCTCTGTTCTCATTCCCTCTTCTGTATGTTCATCATTCAATGTCACTCCCTCATTCTTGTTTATATTCCAATGCTAATCGATCTTGCAGAATTTATATGAAGAACCCCTCATACTTGAATCTTGTACTTCATATTCTTCTGCTTGTCATTTATTGTTAAAATGCTAAAACATGCAAAGGTCTTCCTTTTCTTTGTGTTTTCTTAAAGCACACAGCAGTGGTACTATCCTCGTGTGTGTGTGTTCCACTATACACACACAACTTCCAATAGGGTACATTTTGTCATGCCAAAGAACAGGCAAGTTTGCAGTCAAAATAGTTGGGCATTGTACTGGTAGTCACTTTTGTATTTCTCTCATGTTTCTTCATCTCCTCTTAAAACTTTCTGGGATTGAAGTTAAATGAGTAGAAAAACAAAATTAAGTAATGAGAATAATTAATTTGAAAGTCAATATTGAAAATTGTTGTAAACTGCTAAGAGGGCTACATTCTTCATTTGGACCAAACCAAGGGTATCACTGGGAAAGTAACCTTTCATATGGTATAGTTTTCTGGAATAAATTGATCTTTTTGATCAATTTCTTTGTACTTTCAAAATGTTGCATTTCCTTTATTTTTCTATGCACATTATGTATGTACAGTATATGATATGCATGTGTTTTGCAACAAAGAAACCCACCATTTGATGCTTATGAGCTACAAATTTCTTACAATTTAGACTATATAGAGGGGAGGGGAGTACTGTAGTTTGAAGAAAAATTGTAGAGGATTAGTTAAATGATAAATATAGATACCCTGCATTTCCTATCTAACCTTCTAAGATATGAGATCTTGGGTGATAAAGACATGATGTGATGTGATAAAGACTCTTACGAGTGAGGGAGTGAAGACTATACTGTTGGGAAGGTGACCATCTTCCTGTAAGATAATACTGAGGGGTTACATTCATACATAATGGTACATCAGTCACTTTGACATGAAGGACGGCAAATAGATTAGAAAACTGTGTTCAGAAAGGCTTACCTATAATTGGAGACGAGGAGTCACAATAACGTGGCTGAAATATGTTGACCAAACCACACACTAGAAAGTGAAGGGACGGCGACGTTTCGGTCCGTCCTGGACCACTCTCAAGTCGATTGAGAATGGTCCAGGACGGACCAAAACATCGTTGTCCCTTCACTTTCTAGTGTGTGGTTTGGTCAACTTACCTATAATTATTTTTTTGGTTAACAAACATGCCACAGCAAAAGTTTCTCCCTCTCAGAAGTGCAGGACAAGAAAAAAATACAATAGATAATACCTGCTAAATTTCCAAAGGATATCTCCACAGTTTCTTTCTAAAAGATTAAAAATTGGCCAAGTGGGCTAAAATAGCATGATGCTATTTTAGGATTATGTATTAGGAACCTAGTATCTGCAGATGGCTATTATTTTGTGGGTATTAGGTGGCAATTTATGAGTAGTATTCTCAGGTAATGAAACAAAACTTTGAAGAGATAAGAGTTAAAGAAACAATATTCAGCTTTCTAGTTACTCTCAAATAAACAGCTTGCAAAACCTCTCTTGATGTTGCATGCTGTGTATGAATACCAGTGAAAGTGTCAGCAGTCATGGCTTGCTTACTGTGACGCAGGATATAATTTGAACACTAAACTTTGTGCTCATTCTTCATGCTATTAACTATATTTAAGTCACAGATTCATTTTACTTGAAACAAAATGTATTTGAATGTAAGAACAAAATGCATTTTATAATTACATATGCAAGGCCAAGTAAATTGGAAAGCATCTACATTGTAACTATTATAGTATCAGTGATTATGTAAAGTAATACCCTTCCCCTTCCTTAGATTTGATTTTTATTAGAACTAAACAATTTTGAATTTTGAACACCCTTCCTCTTACCTCACAACCTTAAAAAAACATGATTAGTATAATATCCTGAATCTGCTCGAGTAATATCTAGATGCTTGCTGCTTTCATGAGTTTTTACTTTTGTATTTTTGACCCAAGACTAGTGGGGCATGACTTTGCTAGCATACACTTACTGACCTGTGACCAGCTCTCTTCATATGTACCAAGTTGTTAGTAAAGGCTTTCATGATGAACAAAACTGCATATTATATTTGGAATATACATATTCAGGCCTTTAATATTTGAAGATTTTGTATTTACCCCCAATAAGTATTACTTTTATACATTTACTGTGAAGCCATTAAACTAATAATTACTGTCTTTTCTCAGGCTTACAAAGGAGACAGAGAAGGGTGCTGGACACAAGCTCGACTTATGTTCGTGGCGAGGAGAATCTTCATGGCTGGAGGCCACGAGGAGATTCTCTTATATTTGAACATCAGTGGGAGTTGGAAAAGATCACACGCTTAACTCAAGTGGAACGAACCAGACACTTCCTTCTCCTGCGGGAAAAGCTCGGTCTTGGAAGCACACCTCAACCCCTCAATCACCACCATGATTTCACCAAAAGTGAAAAGGTTAGTCACCACCATTATTATTATTATTATTATTATTATTATCACTAACCAGTATTTCACTTTAATGTGATAGAGGCGCATCAGCCTGTGGTAAAAAGGGAAGCAATGCAAGCATACCTCATTGAGTGCTGCTCCATACAACTCTAATTTGTCATAGTTGTATTTTCTTAGGCTCCAAATGGGATTGTTGACACGGGAAGCTGGTGGCTCGTGTGGTACTGCCACCTGGTGGTGGTCAGGTGTTATTAAGGGTGTATAACTTCACTACTGAATGAATCATTTACAGAGTTTTTTTCTGCATTGCTTATTTTCTGTGAACCTTGCCGGTTTGTCTTGCTTTGCCTCCTTTCTGGGGAATTGTTTCTTCAGTGAGGGTGATGTTGAATCTCCTGTTCTCTCTACCTCTGTGAAAGTGGGCCAGATTTTGGTCTCTGAGCTCTGATAGGCTTTTAAGAACTGGCAAGGGCTAATGTGGCTTGAAGATTTGGAGCTATCTCACTGCAACTAGCTAGAGGGAACCTCCAACACCTTCCCATCCTCCCCTCCCCTCCTCCCCAGAAAGAGCAGTTTCATGATATTCAATTATTTTATGTTTACACATCCATATCATATTTAGCTTCACAAGAGGGTCTCTTAAAATGCCATCCTTTTTTATTTTTCTGTCATCTTTGCCATCCTTGTACTTCTATTTATGATTGAAATCTTCCTTCAGAATAGTATGTGAATACTTGGTGCCTCTTTTCTGCCTACACTGGCATCTTAACAACAATCCACTTTTACAGGAAGTGGCTAATCAAGCTGCCAAGGCTGGATGTGATGCTCGTGCAGTGTTAACACGCTACTCCTCTAGAGACATGCCTATTACAGATTCTGAAAACATGAGTGATGCAGAAAGGGCTACTGCTCTCAAATTTGCGAGGCTCATGCAAGTAAGCATACTTATTTCATTGGTTGTAATATATCTACACAGTTTTATTACATGTTGTGATGCTCACTGGATTGAGATGAAATATTTTACAATTTAATGTTAACTAAAATTTCCAATTGGAACTTTATAACCGAGTGCCAAACATGTTTATTCCTCAGGGACGGTCTATACAGCTTCATACAAAACAAGAAACGCTTGCACAGACACCAAATGATGATCAAGATGCTCTCACAGCATCAGTCACCTCCTCATGCTCTTCCACCACCTCAGCTGAGTACGTACTTCTCATTTTAACAATTGACATAGTCACTACTCTCACCCTTAGAGTATTTGTTTAACCCTTAAAGTGCAGCTATGGATATTTATGCATGTCTACATTATCTAAAGGACAATGTATCCTACAATAAATGTATGAATGAATGTATGTATGTATCAATAAGAACATAAGAACTAAGCGGACTGCAGAAAGCCTATTGGCCCATACAAGGTAGCTTCTATTTATAGCTTCATGTGTATGAATAGGCCCATAGATGAATGAATTTGGGTCGATATAAATAGGAGCTTCCTCGTATGGGCCATTAGTTCGTCTGCATTTACCTTAGTTCTTTCATTCTTTTTGATTCACATAAATACATTCACCCATTTAAATATAACCCTATTGTATCCTCAACACAAGTCCTATATAGTTCAAAATTATTTTCTACCACTTTTGTGCTAGTATAAAAATATCATGCTTTTGTTTAGCTACCTGACATCTTCATTATTTCCCATGAAAAGTTCACATGTTTTGTAAACCTTTTCAAGCTTTTAACATGAGTACTGTTATTACTATACATCATACCATTCATATTACCATATACAGTGTGCAATATGGTAACTGGCCAGTAAATGAGTTAACTGTGAAACCCTTCGCAAGCACTGCACCAAGCATAGGTAATGTTTCCTTCCTCTACCTGGTGCCTATCCTTGTAAGGTCTTGATCATTACATTCTAATCTAATTATATATGCTAATACATTCTCTTAAGACATGGTTTTCTGACTTAACATTCTTCATACCACCATCGCCATCCATTTACATCCCGTGAAAATACGAATGCCTGTCACTTAATATTTGATGACATTACAGTACAGTACATCTTTATTCATTGAGTAATTCATAATCATCTTTATTCATAAACCTTACTTGGAATAATGATGGGATTAATGTATACATATACTGGTACAGGTACTGTAATTGTATATTTTACAAAATTCAAAATTAGCAGAGTATAATAAATAATTGGAACAATATCCCATTGTTGAATAAAGAGAAAATATAAATGCTGTATAAACAATGGTCATATAAATATCTTGAACTCATTTCAGGTTAGCCTCTCCAGAGCGACCTCGTGCGCCTGTACCAGAGCTTCATATTGCTCTTGGTGGATCAGCTGTTGTGCCACCAGAATCTCCCCTTGCAAGCCCTGGAGATTCACAGGGCTCATCACCATTGGTAGAATGCAGACCCATGCCACTTTTCGTCCCTGAGGTTGAAGAAATACGCATATCACCTGTAGTTAGTCGGAAAGGCTATCTCAATGTTTTGGACGATCGAACAAACACCTGGATAAAAAGATGGGTGGTATGTATATTTTGTTAGTTATTATTTGAGAATGAATGACCACAAAAGGCAGTCTCCTTGTTTTGATATTAAAACCAATTTGAAAAACATAAGTAAATTATTTCTAGTGTAGGTGACATGAAGAAAGTTAAAAATATACTAAAATGTTTTGTGGCGTGAGAAAGCCAATAATCCAGAGCTTGTCACATCAACACTTGTTTTAAGTGGTAATGTATTAGAGACACTGATTTTAGGACATCTATTTCATCCCACTTCCTACCATGACATGGTTTAGCTTAAAACAATACTGCCTTCACTGACTTTGTTACGTGAGTGCTTGAGGAGCAAGGAGCCTACAGTATCCTGCTCATATCCCTTCAAGGGGTTACCAAAAATTTATTTCTGGCTTTAATACATAATAATCATGGATAACTATCAACTTTTACTAGTGGCTATTTGTATAGTTAGTTATAGGTCATCACAATAGCAAAGGGTTACACAAGCTATTAGTTTACTATTAAATTGATGTGAATGACAGTTGTTAAGATGTAAAATTGGTTTAGCTGGTACAGTATATACTTTCTAATTATACCCTGTGCTTTGTAGATTATTATCATCAGGCTGCATAAGTATTATACACTATTTAGGGTTATTTTACCTATTGAAAGGTTATTATGAATCTTAGCAAATTCACTGTTTAACCAGCTTGTTTACTTAATTGACTAAACAGTTTGCTGATGGTGAATTTTTCCCATTTTCATTACTAATTAAGATACATGGATAGATTTAATTATCAACTTCCACAAATCCAGAGTAATAGACAGAAAATGAGAATCGTATCTTTGTAAGTGGGATTTCCCATGTAATGTGGTATTTTGTGGGAATTTCCCACAGTTCTTATAAAGTGTTTTGCTTTTGTTAACAATAAATGGAGCTAAATAACTTCCCTCAGGTTGTTCGACGACCGTATGTATTTATCTTCCGAGATGAGCGTGACCCTGTTGAACGAGGACTCATTAACTTGGCAACAGCCCAGATTGAATACTCCGAGGACCAGCAGGCTATGGTGCGGGTACCTAATTCCTTCAGGTAAGGAACTTTTAATGTTACACTTGGGTCCTTTTTTGTACGTGGAAGCAAAGGCAGGCTCATGTGGCTGTGTGGAATGTTGAGAAATAAATGAGCAACAGCAGAAGCTTGAAGTGGCAAGTGCTTTTAAGGAAAGAAAGTTTGGTGTGCTGTGTTCCTGCGCGTCAAAGACAATGAGGAGTGGCATGGAACAAATTAAAAGTGAACCGATATAGAGCCATTGATAGCATTTGCCTATTTTTGAGTACTGTATATGTATCTGCAAAATTTCCGGATACTGCTGATACTTTACAAACTTGTGTACTTCAGTTTTTATTTTAAGTTCATGCTTCAAATTGTCCAAAACTAGCAAAATGAGTTTGTATTAAGTTAATAAAGTACTTTGTTCAGTAATACTGTGTTTATTACTAAAGGACTTACTTTAGCTGTTGATGTATACAAGTGAGTGGTAAAGATACATTAAGACACAACATTATTACCCCTCCTCTCAGGGAGTAATTAGATAAAGCCTTCTGTATAGTCATAAACCCTTTTAAATAGTCATGAAACCTTCATGTTAGCGTAACGCTTCTTCTTGACAATTGTCTTGCCTCCCTCTCAGGTAAGGGAAATTATCAAAAGCATCATGACATAATTGAAGTAAATAAGGGCAAGGCAGTAATGTGTGACAAAGAACAAGAAATTTCCTTGAAAGTTTAATGTCTTTAGACAAATAATGAACAGTTGAAAGAGGCTCTCTAAAATGATTAACTTGATTGACATGTAGAACACACTTGCTGCTTTGTCATTATGAAAGTATACAGTATCATTATTTGCTAATATACATGTCATTATAATGACATATAATATGTCATTATTTGCAAGTACTGTACACATTATCTTAGAAACACAAAACCATGTATGCAAAAGTCACACTTGTTTCCTCTTTTCAGAGTAGCATTTCCTTCATGAATTTAAGTAAATACCTGTATTTGTATAATAAAATGATGTAGCTTGATATAATGATAATTATGTTGCTTATTTTAACTTGGTCTTTCCAGCGTGGTTACAAAACAGCGCGGCTTCCTGCTGCAGACCTTAGGGGATAAGGAAGTGCATGATTGGTTATATGCTATCAACCCACTTTTAGCAGGACAGATCAGGTTGGATATTAATAAGAGCATGTCAGTTCTTGAAACTCTGTATATAGTGAAGAATAACCAGTGAAACAGACAATCCCATTCCCCTTCACCCCCACACCTCTTGCCTCCCCCCCCCCCCCCCCCCCCCCCCCCCACACACACACACACACACACACTCGCACACAAATATACGTGCATACGAGTGCAGAAAAAGCAGCTAGCATACAGTTGCCTCCTGCTTGAACTGAACTCTGTGTACAGAAAGCTGGATGTAACAGAAGGTTTGATCTAGTAGTATGATCTTTTGAGCTATTGCAACAGAAAATAATAAATTTATAGTGGAACAAGCCCATTCATTCACAGGATTAGAATACATGTAAAAAGAAAAAATTAAATTAGAATTGATATAACAATGTGCACAAAAGCACTTGCTATAAATGTGTGCTAATAAAAATGATGTTTAGAATAATGGCTATAATTTGCAAACTTCATATGCAATTGAAATTCAGTTGCTATAGATTAGCTAAAGTGTGAATTTATCCATTCAAATGGGAATGGACTCAGTACTGTATATACATTAATATGTGATCTTGATAGACTTTTTTTTTAATAATATAAGGTAAAGTAATGGACACAAAAATCTTAGAAATTATACTTTCAAACAATCATGAAAGAACCATGTAATATTTATCATTATTGTAGAAAATATTGAACTATGTAATATTTATTATTATTGTATTGTAGGAAGATATTTGTAATATCGTACTATTGTTGTGATTGTAGTTACTGTATTACAATTGGTTATTTGCTTTTTTCATTTTTTTCATTTTTTTTCATTTTTTTACAGATCAAAATTAGGTCGACGAAGTCGTCACACATCTGGCGGCAACCACCCCAACACACTCTCTGTTCCAAGTAAATGAGATAAGGAGAATGCTGGGATGTATGAGAACCTCACACACCAACTGTACCAACAGCACATAACATCTGCCACAGCTTGAGTTGTCGGCCACCTCTCGTATCTTCGTGTTAATTATTCTGCAAACAGGTACTGAAGAAAATTGGATAATAAATCTGAATGTAATTACTTTGTATCAAATAGCAAAATATTTACTTAAATAGCTGTTTAGCAGGACTTCACTACCTGGGGTAAGGTTCTTCTGTTTTTCATAACAAATATTCCCTCTGGAAATACTTCCAAATGTTATCAAATCTTGTGATCAACAAAACTGTGACTCTTTTGCCACACCTTCAAGCTGGACCATACTTTTTGAAAGCCTTCCCTTAAAGCATGTAGTAGGAGTCAGTGAACTTGTAATAATTACATAAAATGCCTGAGAAAGATAGGATGCCTCATACTTTTTATCTGGTGAAATAATTAGTTTGAGATGTTGCAGTGACGGCTGCATGGCTATCTGTTCTCTAGTCCTTAAGATGACAATACTGTTGACAATTTGAGCTGTAGGGTACACTGCAACTACCCATTTACTATTGCAGTGTCTGCTGTGTTCCTTCCAAACATTCAGAAAAGGGGCAAACCTTCATTTCAGTAATCAATTGTTTGTCTCATGTGCTTGCCTGTTGCTCTCTACTGTACACAGGCTCTACCAGCATCACTCTTAATTGTGATTATTAATGATTATAGTAGACTCATTAGCAATGCAAGATAAATCATCTTCATTTGTGGTGTGAGAAGCCTTATTTTTAGTTATGTATATATTGTTTGATACCAAAAATATTTGAGAGAAATAAGATGCAGTTTACTGACAGGTCTATGGGGAAACAGTGATCCTTTTGCTCATTATTGACAATTTCTGATGGGGGCTGAATCTCTGTACTCATGGCTTTAAAGAGACAGACATGCTATTTATTTAAAAGATTTTTTCTTCTAAAAATTTTATGATATACCCTTCCAAACTGGAGTTTTGGTATGTCATAGACAGTTTCCTTTTAGGAGCTGGTGTATGCCTTATCCATCTAATGCTAGAGTTGCTCTGTCATACACAGTCTCCCCATGTAGAAATATCTGTAAATTTTAATACATTTTCCTTTCACCTGTCATGCACTATACTGTACAGATTTTGTTGGTGTAGTGTATAAATCTATAGTAAAACTAATGTGTCTTGAATTTATCTTCCTCTGCTGAGTTTATGTAACTTTAAAAAGGCATTACTGTTTGATGCAGACATGTTGGGAAGTTGGAGGAGATGATCTGCTGGTGGGCCAGACACAGAGGAGGCCCATAAAAATATCATTATTTTGATTTCCTGTTGTGAGATACTAGGAAGTTATTGTGTAAGAGATACATTCCCAAGCATAGACTTAATCAATTTGTGATATATAATATAATTATATGTATGTATAATTTTTCAAGTAATGATTTTTATTCCAGACTAGGAGTGATTTAGGGCAGCACTAGTATTCAGATAAATACTTTAATTTTATGTAGAAATTGAGGTGTAATATAAATCTAAATTTGTAAAGACAACTTGGATATAGTATGATGCTGCCTGTAGAGAATATGCCAGTATAATGATTCCATTGGAATTATCAATGTCATCATTATTTATTAAAAATTGTACAGTACCAAAAGAACTTTGATGTTTGAGGAGCATTATGGTATGATTGAAAGTACATTAAACACTTAGGATATATAATGTACATGTATAGCTTATATTCTTCTCAGCTAGGTAGTGTGATTAAGAGTGGTGAGGCCTTCCAACAGCACTCTACTCCCAGCATCTTGCTGGTGCACAAATGGCCCAGTTTCCTGTGTTGGTAACAATACAAAAGATATCCTAGGTTCACATTAATGTTAGTACCACAGAAAGATGTTTCTGTAACAAAAATAAAGTCATTAGGAATTTCTTGATCAGTCGGAATTGCTTTGCAATAGCTACGACTCATGGCTAAGCCCATTGCTGTTGTGGAGTAGATCTTATTGTCTTTAAATTTCCTCTATTCTCTCATTTTATTCTTGATCTTTCAACAGATACCATTTCTTCCATTGTTCCATTGTTATCTTAACATAATCTGAGACTACAGAAAACTATTAGGTTTGTCTGCAATAGTGTTGAACCTCTGTGATGTCTCCCAGACCTGAACACTTACCTTGCCAAGCAGGGTAAAGCATAGCAATTCAAAGTCTATATCAGTGAAATCAGCAGTTATAAGTATTAGATGGATTTTCAGTAAGGCACATTTACTGGACAAAACACCGAAAGTAAGACTTGCAAGACCATTTAAATACTCAGAATTGCTGGTCATGTCACAGCCTCATTTATTATTATTTTTTTACTTCCCCCCCTTTTAGAAACTTGTCGTCAGAGGTATTTTACCATCTAAATATAGTCAAATGTTTATTTGTCGAGACACCTGACTCAGTGATTGGAAGAATGAAACCAAAGATGTTAGTTTATAAGTATAAGCGTATCTTTATCTAGTCACATGCATCACCATTACTCACCATAGTATAGTTTAAGTTTCTCATAAAGTATATTGTTTGTTTACCCATTTGTTCCTTGAAGAGTTTAAAGCTTTATATTTGTGAATCATAAAAGTTAGAAGTGGTTGTCCGGCAACTGAGAGTTGCCATATATTATGGATATACATCAGGGCAGTCTTCAACTACATCAATTTACAGAGATTTTGTAGAAAAATATAATTTAAATATTAATATTAGTAATATTGTGTTGTAATAGAGTATATCTCAAACAATTATTTATGAAATTCACTGTAAAGCTTGATGTTTACAATGATATGGCCAAATGTAATAATTTAATTTGTTTTATTGCCCCCTGTTTATTAAATTTCAGTTTTGTGTACTGTATACTATTACATCCTATAGCTATACAAATATTAAAACGGAAGATATAGCAGGTTGACATATTGCCTGGTTTAAATCTCCAGCTATTTTGCAGTTATAAGGCCTTTACACTTGTTTTATAAGCAAAGTGTTGGGGAAACTATGACTAAACAAAAATAACATTAACAAACTGTATATGCAAAGTTTTGTCCCAGAACTTCACCTTGAACATAAATAATATTCTTGTAAAATTTACAAAACTTAAGTAAATATAAATATTTATCTAATGGGGTCCTAGACTTAAAAACATACCAATCTATTTTGTTGGTCCCCATTATAGAAACGGTACTATTTTTACATCTGGAAGTCCTTGGGATTGGCAATAAAAACATGTGCATTGCTAAGTAAGCTATGTGGCTGACCATGCAGCCTCAGGAAGCAGTGTTTGGTTTCAACAGTGGTTATTGGTGTAAACAACTTGTTAGGCTTAGGAACTAACCAATCCCATAACTTATCTTTAGCTTTATTCTGGTACTGTACATGATCCACCAATTGATCTATAAGTAAGTAAGTAATTATCAAAAGAAGGCACCAAACCGGGAAGGCTATGTAGCACCATCAAATGTGCAGAATAATCAGAGGGCGCTAAATATCACCAAAGATGCCAATACGGGAACAAAAACGCATAAGGCGAACGATATCAAAAGTATCCGAGTCACCAAGAATTCTATTGAGGGACAGGTGACCGCGAGGGGCGGTCGGAAAGCAAGACACACGCTCGTCCTGGAAGTCAGGACATTCAAGAAGGACATGCACGACCGTAAGAGGGACAATGCAACTAGGACAATAAGGAGCAGGGCGGCGCTCCAAGTGACCATGGGTTAAGCGAGTATGGCCAATACGCAACCTCGCCAGAGCCGTTTCCCAACGCCGGTTACGGTGGTAGGAGGACGGCCACGAGGAAACGCAACATTTAAGAGTACGTAGTTTGTTACCAGTAACAGACGACCAAGAAGCCTGCAAACGGGTAAGGACGGAGGAATGGATAACCGGGTAAAAGTCGGAATACGGAATACCTTTACGAGAGATGGGACAAGAGCGGACAGCTTCCTTGGCGGCAGCATCCGCACGCTCATTTAAAGACACACCAATATGGCTGGGAACCCAACAAAACTCAACAGACTTAAATTTACTGTGAACAAGAAACAGCCAATGCTGGATCTCGACAACTACTGGATGAACCGGATTAAAGGACCCGAGAGCCATGAGGGCACTACGAGAGTCAACAACAACTACAAAGGAAGACTGACAACGAGAAAGCAGGAGACGAAGAGCATAGAGAATAGCATATAGCTCCGCTGTAAAGATGCTAGTCTCCGGAGGTAAGCGACACATAAGTGCGATCAGGAAAAACAACAGAGTAGCCAACACCATCCGCAGACGTAGACCCATCGGTGAAGACAGAAACGGAGCGGGAGTGAGAAGAAAAGTGCTCGAGGAAAAGGCGTTTTAGAACCGTAGGAGGGGTAAAAGCTTTAGCGATACGGGTCAAGGATGTACAAAACTGCGGAAGAGGGACTCTCCACGGGGGCAAAGAAGGAACAACACGAGGAGAAACATCAGAAATACGAACGGAAAGAGAATCCTGTAGGCGAGATAACCGGACAGAAAGAGGGAGGTGGTGAAGAGGAACAGGAACCGCAGGAGGGGTAATAGTTAAAGCACGACAGGTGAGAGGAAGGATGTTGCAAGGACCGCATAAGATAGTGAAGATAGTAGCGATCACGGCGGTCCTGGAGAGATAGGAAGCCAGTGTCAACATACAAGTTGAGGACGGGAGTCGAACGAAAGGCACCAGAACTGAGGCGCAACCCAGTATGGTGCAAAGCATCAAGACGGAGAAGAGTAGAAGGAGAAGCAGACGAGTAAGCAGGGCAACCATAATCGAGCTTAGACAGGACGAGAGAGGAATGTAAAGCGAGTAGTGTGCGCCTATCCGCTCCCCCCAAGACAATACCCAAAGGAAGGTAAGGGCCTTACAGCAATCAACAGGAAGGTAAGAGATATGGGGCGACCAAGACAAATGAGTGTCAAAAATCAACCCCAAAAGCTTAGCGGAATCCTTGTACACAATGGGGTGACCATAAAGTGACAAAGAAGGACGAAGAACGACACGCTTCCGAGTAAAAGTCATAGCACAAATCTTAGATGTAGAGAACCTGAAGCCACGATCGGTGGCCCAAGACGACACGGCATCAATCGCAAGTTGAAGCCGGCGTTGAAGGAGAGGCATCACCCTGACAGCAAAGGGTAAGATCGTTGACATAAAGAGTGGAGAAGACGCCTGAAGGAAGAGAGGAAAGAAGACCATTGAGGGCAACCAGAAAAAGAGTAGTGCTCAGAACATTACCCTGGGGCACACCTTCGTTGTGGCAGTGAAGGTTGTGGTATTTTAGTTATATGAAGGCTGCTGTATCATTTTTGGGTAGTGAAGATTGAATGTGGTACAGGGTATTGGTGATCTAGTTAGTTAAGAAGGTTACTCTGGACTCTTTTAGTAGTGATCATAAATGTTGCAATTTGTAATTGTGGTAATAATTATGGTAGTTGTGACAAAGGATGGCTATGTGATTGCATTCCTAAAGTCAACATCACCATTTGCATCTTCATATGGGGGGGGGAAAAGGGAGGGGTGCATGCGTGTGTAGCATACTGGGATCTGCTGGTGCCTCCCCCCCCCCCCCCTGAAGTGAACTGGGCTTGTGCAGGCTGGAAGATTGCGGCATATTAATATTTATAATCATTTTACCTTTGTTCAGCTGTTTATTCTTAGAAAATTTACCTTACATGTAGACATTAGCAAATTACTGTTATCATATAGTATTAAGAAGAAAAATGCCTGCATTTTAATTTATACAATAATGATACTGAAATCACTTTGCTCACATGGGCAACAACTAGACTTGAAATATTTCATAACTTTCACCTTTGTATAGCTGTTTATTATTTATTCTTAAATATAAACACAGTATAGTACAGCATTCTCAAATGCATAAATATAATTTTCTATAAACTACTTCAATATTTTACATTATCAATGACTTTGCCACTTTTTTCTTTATATTGCTCCTCCATGTGATTACTGTATATACAATATCCACCACAAGTTGCAGCACTAAATATCACAAGATTACAATAGAAATCACCACAAACAAAGTTGGAGACACTTGTATGGAGTTCTGCAGGGTACTAGGGAACGTGCTCACCCACGTCACGGCCTAATAAACTCCACCCACTCGGGAGACATGATTTCAACATTCTGCATCACAGTCAAATTAAATTTTAAAGAAACTGAAGAGTCGATGATGCACAATTACATAATGCAAGTTTTCTGGACAATACAGATTGCATCATTAAAGTGTGTGTTAAGATATAGAACTTTTCAGGATGTTTGGGAGATGCCATGATGCAACAGTGATAACCATAATTTGCAACAACATACAAAGCCCGAAGAGTCACATGTTGAACAAACTGTACAATTGGTGCATTACACAGTAACTGCTAGCACCATCTTCAAACATGCTACTTATTTGTTCTTGAAAGCTGGTATAAAAATAAACTACATGCTGTACTAGATCTGCAAAACCATTGGCAAACATTCAAATTGATGGCAAACTATATTTTGTTATAAACGTCTTAATTTAAAATATTTGAAGACTAGATTATCAGCTATGCTGTACTTGAAAAGTTATTTCATCATGTACATTGTTTTCAAAAGGGGGGAGGGGTCTTGATAGGACTAAGATGACAACATTAACACTTACATTTCGATGCATACCCAACCATAAATATTCTGGCCATCTTAAGGTTCCACTCTGCAACACTTAAAATGTTTATACTCTTATGATTTCTCAGTTTTTTGGATTATACAGTAACTTAAAATTTGGTGTCAAAATGTTCACAATTGAATTTGACAGTATATATGCAAAACAAAATGTTTTGATTACATTATGTATGACTGCTGAATATACAAATGCTTATGAACATTTCAACATTACTCATTTCTTCAACATAAAAATACAGTACTAAAATATGGAAACGTGTGCACGTGATTGTACAATATTGCTGCAAAAACAAAACGACTTCATACTTTTCCAGGTGATTTGCAAAGCATTGTGAATATACTCACAAGCAGGGCAATTATCTTGTGATAGGTATTTAGCCAAAGTGGTCTCTGGATGGTACGGTGCTTAACATGGATGGTTCGGATATGAAAAAAAAGGGGGGGGGGGGAGGTGATTTTTGGTCGTTTTGAGATTGATAGCATATTTAAGCATCAGAACACTAATGTTACAAACTATTTTCATTTCAGCAAACTTTGTTAAAAATTAATTTTTTGTACCGTTTGATACTGGGAATAACTTGCTAGTATCTTACAAAATTAAAGAGTACAAAACTTATTTTTAAAAACATTAGAAGTACAGTTGTATGAGAATAATGACTAACTTCACTACAGTATATACTTTTGAAAGCCTCCTTTTGTTTAATTTTATCCCTTTATTCTCCTATCTTCTCACCCCTCTCCTCCTCAGTGTGGGGAACTGGGCAATAACACAAAGGGGGACAAATCAAGTCAGCAGCAACCTACCGACTTTTTTGCTGTCTGAATCATGCCAGGAACATTCAAATATTGCAATAATGACATTTTCCAAGAATCAAGAGTCCTTGTATGGTATAGCCTATGATGTGTTTATGAGAGTGAATTTGAATATACGAAGTTCAAGATCAGACAGGATGGATGATCTACATGCTGAACTTGAGAGAATGATTATATGATTATCTTCCTATCTGATTTTCAACTAAATTGTGTGGAATAAGTGTGTAAGATTATCTTTAAATCTTTAATATCCATGTCCAAACTGTCGATATAATGATCCTGTAGTTTAAGAGAAAATAATCATGAGGCTCTGTAAGCAACCATTGTTAACAAGTCGAACACCAGCAAGATTGTTCATTTAACCTTTAGAAACTAGTTCTGTACAGTTTATGCACACACATTTAAACCATTTTGTTATACATTAGAAAAGTATCATAAATGACAAGAATTAACTCAATGCAACTAACAACAGTCATAAAAAAATAAATTAAGTTCAAAAACCTTTATATTAATTCCAACTGTTCCAACTGTGTTCCAACTGGAACACAGTCAAATATAACCAAAACCTTACTCGATGTCTTCTGTTTTAATAAAACTATTTCCCACAAAACAGTACTTGATACAAAGCAGCCGATATTTAAACAATACTTAGGATATACAGTGGTACCTCCGTTTTCGAATTTAATCTCTTCCCAGAGACGATTCAACAACCAAACATTAAAAAATGGAAACAAATTTTCCCAAAAGAAATAATGTAAATTGAATTAGTATTTTTGGGGGTGTGGAATGGATTAACTTAAAAATACAATACTATTCATATTTTGTACTAAAGTATGTACAAGTATATCTTACCTTTATGAAGGACTTCTTGGTGTATGGAAAACAGTGAGGAGGAAGTGGTGGTGGGCAGGGGGGGGGGGGGGGGGGGGGGGAGAGGAATTAGTGTTTGGAAGGGGAGATCCCTTCCACTGTAACATCAGGAAGCGATGACATTTCTGGGGTACTCTGTTTTGCAGGCATGCCCTAGGACCTGGTTGGGGCTCACTGCTTGCTTGTCTTACTAAGAATCTTAGTAAATACGCTTCTTTTTACCTACGTTTTAACACTTGTCTGTAGCGAGACATCACAGTCATTATGAATGATCTCTGTTTTTCCTCAATCATTATCCTCAACTATTTTATTTGGTTGTACTTTATCACCGACTTTCTTGGGACCCATGGCATGATAGATTATAATTACTATTATATTCAGAAAAAAAATAAAAAATTCTTCATAAATAATTCAAGCTACGTCATTACTAGGTGGAACACACTGGTAAACTGAGGCGTGCCGCACACTTGGTCGACCCATATGTGTATCAACAAACTCGAGAAGTGAGGCAAACCTCGAATACCGAGTCAAATTTTATGAAGAAATTGAACTCGAACTGAAAAAATTTGAAAAGAGGGGCATTTGAAAACAGAGGTTCCACTGTAATTATTCTTAAAAATGCATATGGTACATAGTGAAAATTAACAAAAACATAACCTTACAAATAATTTTTGAATAATACATTTAAACAATAATAATAAAAATTAGGAATCTAGTTTGTGAAAAATTTAAGCATTGTACATATTGTATTAATGTAACAAGTACAGTACAGTACAATATTGTCATTATATAATGTCAACCCACAGTCAGGACCAAAAGCAAACAAAAAGTCTTTGTCGGACAAGAAGTAAACTAATATCCTCTCATTTTTAAAAAATTAATGATGCAATAGAAGAAATAAAATGTGTGAATAAATTAAGTGTGAATGTGCGTGTGGGGATTATTTGCATGTGCACGAAGTAGAGCCATCATGTGTGTACCATATGTGGGGTCACTGGCCCCAATGAGATGGAAGAGAGGAAGCAGCATCTGGTAAACATTTTAACAGGGAGTGATGAAAAATACATCATTGGTAATACTCTACCTCAATGCACCAACCACTATATGCAAGAACTAACTATAGTCAAATGTACTTGATAAAAACCAGTTCATTCTTTCAAAAAATTACTGAGGAAATGACACAGACAAATACACATATATACAGATGCACCACATCAAAATACATGTAAACACATGTAAATTAATACACACACACAAATACCTATATACACAACCAAGCATTCAATCTATTCCCGCACAAGATTGTTTTTGAATTTGGAGCACATTTGAGGAGTAATTAGAAGGTTGCCAGCATAGATAAAATAATTTATAAAAAGTACAAAGACAAGAGCGGTGATTGTAGGCAATAAATCAGAGGAGTGATACTAATAAGGATCCCATAAGGCTCAATACTAGCATGAGGATGTATTCATTACACATAAATGATCAATCTGCAGATATACAGAGTTATTCTGAATGAACATGTTTACAGGTAATACTTGGCTGATTGGAAGAATAATGGACCTAATCGACCATCACGTTTTTCAAGACGACTTCAACAATATAGCTACTTGGTGTAGTACAAGGCTAACGAATTTTAATGTGGCCAAAAGCGAGAAATGAGCAAGAACAAGATCTCATTCGACTTGTAAATTATGCCTAAATATTCTTTAAGGTCTTGGCCAAATATATATACAGTATTTAAGAATAATCCTTGATAGCAAACCGTTTAGAGCAAAATATCAAAGGCATAGTCAGAGGGAAATAGGCCTATGCTGCACTGGCAAATTTCAGAATTTCCTTAAAGCAAATGGAGAAATGCTTAAAACCAATTCATGACAGTTGTGCGAGTCAAGTTAGAAAATGTAGCAGTTGTTTCGTGTACAATATATACCTCAACAGATTCATTTTTTGAGATCTGGGAGCCATGAGGAAAAGTAAACTTGGGAAAACAAGAAAAACAAGGTGATAAAATCCCCAGTACAAAGTTTTAATAGTAATGAGCAAAATTTACACGAAAGTAGTTTTGAGTCCTGCAACACTGAGAACAACAGTACTGTCATGGTATCACAAAAATTAAGAAAATTATATTTTGTAAACAAAGCAGTTGACAAAGGGAATAAATTACAAGTAAGGGTAGTGTGCTACACCATTCAAAGCTTGTAAACTGTACAGTATACGATAAAGATCATTAGGAATATCGGATACCACAAGCTTTGTTTTTGGTCAGGAACTACACTTTGGTAATTACAGGTACACACAAACTGGAAATATGATACTGACAGAGCTGCAGTGACAGATAAGGACAAAAAAGATACGAACATGAAAAAACAGACATGAATAAATAAAATATTGAAAGGCCATAAATTCAATGTATGACAGTCAAGAGGGTGAAGTGACCCCCCACCAGACCAACAAACTTTAATTTATTATCTAGAGTCAAAGTTAACTCATTTCAATACAATAAGAATGGCCTACAGGTTGGTAACTATCCTTTGTCAGATTTTAAGGGATATTATCCAGTCCTCAATGTTTCTTTTAAATCTATGCATTATTTTATATTCATAATTTCATATTGCAATCTATAAATTCTTTATCACCAGCAAAGTGATCATTAAAAGACTGCAAGTAGCAGCCCGTCCTCCAAACAAAGACCCAAAAGTGATTCCATGCACCCACCAAACCCCCTTCTTATGAATGAAAAGGGTTTACACACGACTCTACTTATTTCGTTCGAACACTAACTTCTGGAACAAATGCTTCACTGACGAATTTTGTTCGAAGCACAATGCTGTAAATGCTTCACCCATGTACTACAAATACAAATAATTGTCAACAGAACCTCAACACCTAACCTAACCTATGCCTATATATATGCACAATATGCTATTATAATATTACAGTAATATATATTTGAGAAAATTCCCAGTTTGAGTGAACAGCAAATAAAAATTTATTAATGCGTGTGTGGGGTCGATCGCTGGATGTAATGGACTCGAGTCGAGGACGGGTTGGGAAGTACAGTTTAGTGGACCCTTATATAATGCACATTCAAACAGTAATGGTACAATTTTGACAAGAAATTTTTCCACTTAGCCACTCAACATTTAAATAGCATGTGTTACTATGACACACACACAGTATGCTCACAAGTACACTCGGGCCCAGAGAACCATAGCTTTAACTCCCTTTTCAGTCCACTGGTACCCCCACGAGATTTTTGCCGTTTACACCTAATTTTTCTGTCTGGCTGTCAGTCTTATTGAAAAAATACAATTCCTCATACAATCCCATAAATACAGTATTGAATGTGAATAAATGCCACATAATGGAATGTGGAATACGTATACTGAATACATAAAAAAAAACTACATGCAATCTACTAATTATTGTATTTGAACAATATACAGTACATATTAAAGAACTCTGACAGTCATATATTTAGGGGTGGTTCTGTATAATAAACTGTCACCAGACGACCACATCACGGGCAGACCCTACATTATGCTTGTAAATTTCAGAATCATTGTTAAATACATGGATGAATGGTAAATTGCTCATTACTGTACATTTGAGAGAGAGAGTGAAATTGGAATATACAGCAATTATACAATATTCATACTGTATCTCAAAAAGCACATCAAATTGTAAAGTTGCAACAACATAACAAATGGCTTCTAGACCAAACAAACTGGAAGGAGGAAGAAAGACGAGAAGTATTAAACATGTAAAAGCTATTACGTAGAAGGAAATGAGGGGACACGATTACCACATACAAAGGGTCCTGGTAGTACAGTTTGGATTCGTTCTTGACCCTTATTGAGAATTCCACGTTTGAATCCCAGGCAGGACAGAATTGATTTGGCGTGTTCCCTATTGCCTCATGCCCCTATTCACTTAGCAATAAACAAGTACCCAGGAGTTAGTTAGCTTCTTGTGGGGTTACATTCCGGGAAAGGTCGGTAATTCGAACCTGGGGAGGAACTCAATATAAGCCTACAAACATGTACTGTATGTATGAACTGGCTGCCTGTCCCCCGACACAATGAATTAAAATTGTGACAAAATGACAAAGTTAGCAGGGAGGAATTTTTCAAACCAACTTAAAAAATAAGATACCCCAGACTCGAGCTATTAAAACAAAGGGCCGAAAAAATGCCGAAAAGGTTTTCTTTTGAAAAGAAAAAAAAAAGTTGTAGATTAAAAAAATTTAAGTGAGAAGTGGAGAATGCCAAACCCTCAGAAGTTTCAAGGGGCATATGACAAAATTACATGGACAACTACATTTAAATAATCACAGACACATGCACACAAATATATATATATAATTTATGAAGATATTTTATGGTGGTAAAACTTGAGCAATTGATATAAATGTGTACACTTCTCATTACTACTCACCAAATGAATGGTAAGGGAAGTTGCAAAACCTAGATAATTAACTTGTATGTGCACTCACTCTTACATTAACCCTCTCTCCCCCACCTCCCTCCCACTCTCACTGCCTCCCTCTCACTGCCTCCCTCCCACACCCTACCCTGCCCTCAATCTCACACAGATACACATTCACACTGCAGTATTTTAAAATCAGAATATGCCTATATTGTACATATAGCAAAAAATTATGTACGAATATGCCTATTCAGACATACACAAAGCATATTCTGATAAAATCAGAATATGCCTTGTTATGGCCGAGAACATAACCATACTATACCCACATGTATCACCATTTTATACAAAGTACTTTATTCCAGGGATGTCACTGCCATGTTATACAAGGGTTTATTGTAAATAAAATGAATAAATGAAGTCTGCCACCACAGTGTGGCTCTTCTGCAATTAATCAATGTAATTTTTTTTAATGAAAACAGTGTACTATCAGGTCAAGTTTTATATGTAATGAATGAGGATCATATCACGTAAAGTCAGTCTTTTTATTAACCTCATTTAAGACCCAAGCAAGGGTGATGTGCTTGAAATTACCAGCTTTAACAAACTAAACTAAAACTAAAAAGTATAAATTTTTAAAATATATAGCCATAACTTATCTAAACTGCTTTCATAAGTACTTCCAGACAAAGTATAAACAAAGCAACACAAGAAACATTCCAGCCAGAAGGATGTACTTATCCTGTGTAGACCGCCTCTCTATCATTCTCATCACAGTATTAGATAGGCCAAGTGTATTGGCAAAGTCCAGAACACGTTTGTGAGCACCCTTTAGTGTTGACCCTTGGTCACGCAAACTCTGAATGATTGTAGTACCTGCGCCTAGCAGCTCATCTACATTCCGACCAGCTTCCTGAAAATGTTAAATATATTGTACTTCCAAAATATTCAAGTTGATAAACTTACAAAGCATTATTTACCAAAGTCATTACTGTACTGTACTTTTATTTCTCTGTTTAATATTGACACTTCACCACTTGTAACTTAAAATTCAGTGCAAATCTTGTGCTAACTAAGACTTGCTCAAAATGCTCCAAGTGAAGTTTTGCTGTACACAATTATGTATAGGTCTGGACCTATACTTTTTATGAATTTTCTGGTGCATATGCAGCTTTTGCTATTTTCCCAACTACAATAAGTTTTCGGTAATGCAAAGCTAAAAATAAAATTTCAGATGTGTGTGAATGATGGCCATATCTCAAAAAAACATTAATAAATCAGGAAAGATACAGACACACTACAAGATGGTATGAAGACCTAAAACGCAAATGATTTCGAGAGGCTGGGAGGAGCTAAATACCTGTAGGCAAAACTAGTAGACATGAGAAAAAGATGTGATCTGATCACTACATGCAAAATTGTGACAGCAACTGGTAAAATTGCTAGAAGAATTTTTTTAAATACGCAAAATCAAGAACAAGATGTCTTAGATTTAAATCAAGATAACAAAGGTGTTGGAAAATAACTGTTGTAAATTCTCTTTTGCAAACAGTGACAGATGGAATGGTTTCCCCCAAGTCAGGGACAGAAAGCCTGTTAGTGTTGACCAAACCACACACTAAAAGATGAAAAGACGAATATGTTTTGGTCAGTCCTGGACCATTATCAAGTCGATTGTGATGGAAGCAAGGGAGGTACGAGCATAAATAAGGCAAGAGTGAGGTGAGGAGCAAGTAAGAGGAGGTAAAAGCAAGGTGAACGGCAAGAAGAAGAAATATGTAGTGCGGATGCGATGGGATGGGTGCAAGACTAAGAGGAGAAATAAAAATAAAAATAAAAAAGGGGGTAAGCTTATGTTAGGTTATGTTTGTTAGAAAGGTTAGAGCATTTGAGTATGTACTGTGAAAGGAAAGAGTCAACAGCTACAAAGCCAGGACTAATATTCACGTTGGGCATGTTGTATATCGGAGCTGATTCAACAAAATGGCGTCTGAAGAGTAGAGGGTGGGAAAGATTATTTTAGAAGACCAATCAATAGGATGATTAGAATCCCTAACATGATAAAAGAGTATTATTTGTCTACAGACTTAACACTTCTTTGGTGTTCCTCAAGTCTGTCATTTAGTGTATGGACTGTTTTCCCCAAATATTGGAGAGAATATTTAGAGAATATTTGAAGAGAGAGAACAAGACAAATAGGAAATAAAGTAGACACCAGCACCATTAGAAGCAGGAGCAGTAGTGTGAATCAGATTACTTTGAAGAGCGTTAGTTTGTTGAAAGGCGAGCTTTATGTCAAGAGGACAAAGGGTATTAGTTTTGAGTTCAGACATGAAGAGAAGGCAGAGCGCAGTGCTAATAGTGTTGTAAACAGGCTTAGAATGAAAGAAATTTTGTTTAGCTTGAGAATAGACACAGTTGATAAAATGTAAGGGGTAACTAAGGAGAGAGAAAGATTTGTAAATAAAGGGAATTTTAGAATCAAGAAACCGAGGGTCACCAATGCGTAGAGCCCGGAGGAAGAGAGACGAAAACACTTCTTACAGTAGGAGGATGGAAGGAAAAGAAGTGAATGTACATATCACTATGCATGGGTTTGTAGCAGACAGAGAGAGAACCCGGACACAGAGCTGTGAACAGAAACGTCAAGAAAAGGAAAAGGGGAATTAGATTCCCATTCAACTTTGAAATGGATGGGAGCAGCCAGAGTGTTAAGAGAGGAGATGAAAGTCTGGAAAAGAAAGTCGTGAGGCCATGAAGGAAAAATGTCATCAACATAGCAAAGTCAGAGAGAGGGAAGAGTAGCAATTGAAGGTCAACAGAAGAAAGAACAGTTTCAAAGTACTATATTCAATGTAGAGATTGGCAAGAACAGGGGAAAGAGTCGAGCCCATAGTGACACCGGAAGTTTGAGAGAATATTTACCGTTGAAAAAAACCCAGTTAAGAGTCAACACAAGGGTAACGAGTTTGAGGAAAACATCAGTGGGAAGCGGGAGATGAAGAAGGCCCTCAGTCGCCTTTTGACTAAGGAAAAAGAAAGTCATCAAGGGGAACATTTATTTTTTGCTATTTATTTTATATATACAAGAGTTCTTTCATTCTTGTACAGTCACTAGCATGCATAGCATTTTGGGCAAGTCCTTAATCCTAATTTTCACACTCGCTCCCACACCACACCACACACACACACACACACACGACACACACATCCCCAGGAAGCAGCCCGTAGCAGCTGTCTAACTCTCAGGTACCTATTTACTACTAGGTGAACAGAGACATCAGGGGTGAGAAACTCTGTCCATTTGTTTCCACCTCTGCCAGGGATCGAACCCGGACCCTTAGGACTACAAACCCTGAGCGCTGTCCACTTAACTGTCAGGCCCCAATATTCAGCGCGTCCTCTATTTACTATTAGGCGACCAAAAACATCAGGTGAAAAGAAACGAACGTGACCATCTCTCTCTCTCTCTCAACCGGAAACTGAACCCAGGATCCTCAGTTTTGAGTCAAAGATGTAGGCCACTGTGCTATTGCCCAAACCATGTTATAAATGCCACCTTGTCCATTTGGCACAGACAAGTAGAATTTTGAGATGTCCCTAGTATAGAAAGATCCACTGGAAAGACTTAACTGAATTTTAAACATGAACAGGTGGCAAAGACTTTATCCTACTACCTGTAGCCATTTTAAAGATATGGTGTTCTCAAAATTCAATAATCTTAATCTTACCCCTAGTTTATCATGGTGTTGAAGTTCATGGTCTAAGAAAATTGAAGTCTCCTGTTGGTCATTAGTGGTAAATTTACGAGAAAGTAATGCATCCCTTTCCTGCAACTCACGAGCTCGCAAATGTCTGCGGTGCTGAAGCATTCCAAAAGAGTTCTGGAAAAAATAGAAAATGTGCTTATTGAGTGGTATAGCAAGGTTCTCAAACCATGCGACTCATCTTTTCGGACAACATACCACATACACAATCAGAACAAAGGTCATTTTTCAAAATTCAAGATCAAGAGTAGTTGTGAGCACACACATCTGCTTTTTAGTCAGGAATACTGTAGAGTGTATGTGGGAATTTGAACATGTATCGAGATATTACATGTTTTTTTCCAAGAGTATTACTCAGTCAATTGGGGTCATGTCACCTTAATTTAAATACAGTGGCACCTAGCTCAAATGAGCTACTGAAAACTAGACTTTTTTTTTTTTACCATAAATTCCAAGCCACCGAGCATTTTGTACTTTTATAATTTACATAAAAATATTTTTGCCTTTTTCTAACCCCAAGTGGTTGAAAGCAGATCTGCATATACACTACTGCATATAGATAAAATGATATCCTGTACACCGACAAATTGTCAAAATACTGGGCATCTCAAAATTAGCTATCTATTTCTATGAAACAAAGTTTTTTAAAATTCATGTTTATTGATGTTTACCATGAACCATTTTACAGTGTGTGTGTGTATTCACCTAATTGTACTCGGCTAATTGTGCTTGTGGGGGTTGAGCTCTGGCTCTTTGATCCCGCCTCTCAACTGTCAATCAACTGATGTACAGATTCCTGAGCCTACTGGGCTCTAAGTGTGTGTGTGTGTGTGTGTGTGTGTGTGTGTGTGTGTGTGTGTGTGTGTGTGTGTATGTAAAAATTTATAATTTCATCTCTTCTCAGAACCCTAACCCTAATAATGAAATCTACAAAGATTTACAAGAAAATTTCACAGAATTGGTCCTACAGACCAAGAAATTTGTAAGCAAATTTAAAAGAACTAGATCCATTCACAATGACGTGAATAGATTGAGACCCGACACAAAAAAGGACACCCAAGAACACAATATGACAGTATTCAACACAGAGCTAACAGTATGTTAGCTCAAGAACGAGCTAACAACATCGGTTAGGAAAGCTAGTCAAAAAGACTACATATTCTATGAGCTGTTGCCTTGGATCTTGCATTCGACACTCAATACGCAGGGATACAGACGGAGCCCATGTTGAAAGTTCTTAATAGTGATTTGATTTACAAATCACTTTGTGTCATAATTAGGTAAAAACATGAAATTATGTAAGTTTGTAATAGATTCATCCTATGGCATTGCAATAGATTGCCAATTCTAGGACACCCTGTACAGTACAATACTTAAAAGTAAAATAAAGGACAAGATTCATAATTTATAGGAAATAAATTTAATATTTTACTTATTGTACTTTGGAGAAAAGCCATGTGGGTAAAATGTGGGCATAAACACAGTACAGTAGTACTACTATATACCACTTCATACACCATTTATATGTAATCTCATCTAACTCCTTATACTCTGATTTCTTTAGCATTTTTTCCACTTTGAACCATTGCCACCAGTTGTCAGACTCGGAGCTCGCAAGGCTTGTTCACTGCTCAGTCTATTTAGTCTTTTTCTTCTATATTATAATACCTTTTCTTCCTCTACTTGGTTTAGAACTACTACTATGGCTGGTAGACCTATTTTAAACTCTCAAATAATTAAATATCCAAAGAAGAATTGCCAAAATCCACAGTAGCGAGAAGTCTTTCCACACGATCACAGGAGAACAAGGTAAGTCTAGTTACAATAGTCATGGTTACAATGACTACAAAATAAGACATTATACTTGTTTAGTAAATATTCAAGAAAAACATTTCTTTTCAAAACATTAAATATGGTGGCTCTTTGAAAATTAATATTTACTACTAAAGACAAGAGAAACTGTCAAACTTTGAATAGATTTGATCCATGAATAACTTGAGATTATCTTGAGATTATTTCGGGGCTTAGTGTCCCCGTGGCCCGGTCCTAGACCAGGCGTCTTTTTTGTTACACACCCCAAGGAAGCAGCCCGTAGCAGCTGTCTAACTCCCAGGTACCTATTTACTGCTAAGTGAACAGGTGCATCAGGGTGAAAGAAACTCTGCCCATTTGTTTCAGCCTCCACTGGGGATCGAACCCGGAACCTCAGGACTATGAATCCGAAGTGCTGTCCACTCAACTGTCAGGCCCCCTGTACAATTCAGTATTTATATAATAAGCAGACATATATATATATGCAGTAACATATTACTGAAGTATTAAGCTGTCAGAATTAGCAACATACCTGGACATGCTGAAGATCATACTTCAATTGATCAACTCGATATTTAGCATTTACTCTTCTAGCAGGTGGTTCCTTGTTAATCAATATATCCAAGCGGTTGCAGTTACTGTTAATAAGAGCATACTTTCCATTAGTCAGGAAAAATTCTTGACATTAATTTTTAATAGAATATTTAAAATAAAAATACAAGGCATTACCACTCCCAAAATATATACTTTTGATGGAAGATACAACAAAGCAATTCATTTTTAAAAAATTACAGTAATATTACTATGATAATTCAGTTCAGCAATAGTCAGGCTACCCTCAATTTGCACAGAAGTTATGTTTGTGTCAGCTGTGTGAAATACCACTGTAAATTTTATGGTAAAAATGGGCTGTTTCCAAGACTTCCAAAAGTTCTTTCCCAACAAAACTATTGCTCCCTCGATTTTCTGCCAGGAATCTAGTACCCGACATTGCCTTGCATGTAGTAGAACTCTAGATCATCCAATAAGTGGCACTTGACCTACAAATGAAAATATCTCCTGTGCCCTTCTAAACTTGGTTCGCAAGTGAATAGCCACACATCACCAAATCCATGTTTTGTGATTAGAAGCAGCTTTAGTCACACTAAAGTCCAAACCCTGAATATTAAATAATTTATTCTGCATTCATTCACCTGTTTTGTTTATTACACCATCTGCAATACAGTAGAGTCATTTTTTACATTATTGGATATTATAGCACTAGCCGAAACGCTTTGAATAGATTAATAAAACCAAGAGTACTTTTTCTGCAAAAAGAACCGACATTTCTGCGCCAGAACTTAACTTTTTTCATTCTTATGCCAACAATGTCAGTGGTCATTACTTATTATATAAATTATAATTAATTCTGTAATGATGACTATTTAAAAAATACACAAAAAAATAATATACTGTGGTTTAATAATTGTTACAACTCATTTTTAACAAAGCCACTGGCCATTTTTGCCAGGCTAAAAGTGTTAAGAATATATAAAAAAAAACATCCTCTGGATTCTCTGATTACCAGATACAATAGAAATTTCTGGTTCTCGACCCCCATCCCCATGAACTGCACTATGTCCAGTCAATAGCAGCTTACCCAACCAACTGTGAAATCTGTGCAATGCTGCAGCAGCAGGTTACATCTTTGGCTCACAACCGAGGTTCCTGGATTCAATTCCTGAGCAGTACACAGCTGGGCAACTGTTCCTGTCGCCCGATGCCTCTGTTCAACTAACAGTAAATTGGTAACCAGAGTTAGACAACTGTTGTGGATAGCATCCTGGAAAATTCAGTAGCTGGCCAAGGGATCCCTCAATTCTAAGAACAGACTTCATCTCCCCAATACCAGAAAGCTTTAGTCCCCGTGGGCAGTGGCAAGACGCTCACCTGGCGTTCTGCGAGCACTTTGTCCCGAGTTCATATCCTGGCCGGGGAGGATTTACTGGGCGTCAATCCTTAACTGTAGCCTCTGTTTACCAAACAGTAAAATTGGTACCTGGTTAAATGATTTCGTATTCCAGCAGGGTTGTATTCCAGGGAACATAAGATTAAGGACTTGCCTGAAACGCTAGGTGTGCTAGTGGCTGTACATGAATATAAGAACTCTTGTATATATAAATAATAAAATAATAATAATAAATAATAAACAATCATATTTGTTTCCTAAATCAGTGCATTTCTATTATACACAATTACTGTACATATATTTTTAGCACATTTCAATTAAAATAAACAACACATTATGCCTCTTGACATTTTATTTGACTATCCAGATTTTCATTTATCCAGACAAAGAGATATCAACTAGTTTGGATAATCAAGGTTATATAGAATCATGAAATGCTTCCATCTACCTTGTGAAGGTTCTGGGGTTCAAAGCCCGGTCTCAGACCAGGCGTCCCGATTAGTCATCTTGTCAATCAGGCTGTTTGATGCGGCTGCACGCAGCCTGACATGAATCACAGCCTGGGTCATCAGGTATTCTTTGCAGGAGTTTGTCAAGTTCTTTCTTGAACATTGAGAGGTTGGCCAGTTATACCCCTTATGTATAGTAAGAGAGTTTTGAGAAATCTTGGGTCCTTGATATTGATAAGAGTTCTTTCTCAGCGCACTTATTGCACCTGTGCTTTTTCCATGGAGTCATTTTGCATATCCTACCATGCCTACTGGTTTCATGTGATGTAATCTGTTCAGATTAGAACTAGTCCTAATTGAAAAGTTAGTGTTGAAAAGTGTTAAGTATAACATTTATATAGACCATGTCTATAAATTTTATACAACAAAAATTCTTAAAAAGAAAAATCATAGCATAACACTTAAGATTACCTTAGAACTTAATAAATTACACTTTAATATTGCAAAAAATCCTTCAAATGACACCTGTATGCTGGATACTCACGAATGAATTGTGTCCAACTTTTGCACTACAAGAGCCTCAGCTTCACTGTATTCCTCTGGGGTGTGTGACCGTTCAACTTTTGCTAGGTCATTAGACGTCACCTCTTGCAAAAGACGGTTTGTTTGGTGGTATAAAGCTTCCATGTTGAAGGTAATGTAGCTCTACTGTTGTCACACTATAGTATTTATTAGATAATTATTTTGCTCAAAAACTTTTCAATGTCTATAGAATAGAGTTCAGTAAACCATTGTTATCAAAAATATCTTTCTACACAGTCCAAGTTAATACTTCACTTCTTGTTCCTGTGGAAAGAAATTAGTTCCAACATTTAATTTTACATTATTTAAATAACAATCTAGCATCCTATGAATAAAGAGGGCTCATGGAATTATTTTTGCATTAAATTCCGTCCAAGGATACAGCCTTTCCAAAGTGTTACTTGGCATCACAAAGACTACCAAGTCCTTACTAATTACCGCTACCTTACTAACTACTTACTAAACTTAAGTTAGTCCTTAGTAACTACCAAATGGCCCACTTGGTCATTACCTCCAAACGCCACCAGATATCAGCCCTAATCCAACATCAAAAATCCACCTGAACCATGCTTATCACATTCTACCTGGATGCCAGGCTAAGAAAAAAGCACCACCAAGCACAGGAGACAATTTAGAAACAGGAGAAACCAAGTTCAGAAATGTAATTTTCATACAATTTCTATAATTCACTCTGTCAGGGGACAGGAAGCCAGAGTGTATTCATACGTTTTGCTTTTATTGAGGTCCCCCCTCCAAGGCCGAATTATTGACCCCATCCACGATGCAATCCCCACAACAAGCTGACTAATTTCCAAGTAAACAAATTCACAAAGCCGTGATGAGGGTTCGAACTGACATCCAGGATGATCCCAGACGCGCCTTAGTCGATTGCGCCATGACATGGTTAAAAGAATTTCAACCTGGAGTGCAACTGCCCTCACACTGATCCCGCAGCCTCTCTCAGACACAAACCGGGGTTTTACACAATTTCCCCATGCACCCAGGCTCTGTCAACAAGCTGTTCTACCTCTTTGCCCTTACACACAAGGAATCACAACAGTGTGATATATCAAATGAGCAAATCCACAAGGGCCGTGATGAGGACTAAGGCGCGTCTGGGATCATCTTGGACGCAAGTTCAAACCCTCATCATGGCTCTTGTGGATTTGTTCATTTGATATATCAAATGAACAAATATGAATCTAACATAATTTTAAGAAGGTAATTTCTAGCAAATTAACAAAAAATTTATAGGTACATTGCAAGAAAGTACAAAAATACATTGCAAGAACATACAAAAAAAGAATATTGTACAAGAAATTTGAAAAAAAAAAGGTACATTAAAGTAAATTTAAGGGTAATCCATATGGGTAATTTAAGGGATACGTTACCCTATGCAGCACAGTCAGTCTTCTAACACAAACACGTGACACTGCACTTAAAACAATTTGTCATAAATTTCACATTTGTACCGTAATGCACTTCTCAATTTTACTTTGTATATAATGTCTGCACCAATCAGTACAGAAAACCAAAGTTTTCTAGGCTCAGTGCTACACTATTTGATGACCCCATATGGGGATGTACCATTTAGATACAATATAATGTAGGTTAATGTTCGAAGCTATCAATGTAACCAGTCCAAAAGTTGATGCAGACATACGGTGGATTATATGGCGACCAATCTGCAATTATCACCATTTCCCAGGTTCACCGTCGTGTAAAAGGCGAAAGATTTATACATTTTGAAGGGAAACCAGACTGTAACCCTTTCTACTACCGCCCACAAGATGAGTATGGGGTGCATAATAAATGAACTAAACTAACTCACCATCATGTTATTTGGATAGGTTTACTTTATAATTTGTTAGTTTTTTGCAAGTTAAAAGAGAAGCCACAAATGTTTCGTCAGTTTACTTTTGATATAAACTATTTCAACAAAATTTATATATCGTAACCAAATGTCACCAATCCCCTTCCTAAGGTGTTTAGTTTAGTTCATTTATTATGCACCCCATACCCATCTTGTGGGCGGTAGTGGAAAGGGTTACAGAGGAACATAATGGGAGGTGGCCAGGGAATTTTGTAGTGTTTTCGGCGCTCTTAATTGCTTAAGTATTTATATGAACTAAGAATGGTCCGAGATGAGATGCATCTCATTTTATCAAGAAATATGGTGGAGAACAACTGACAAAACAGATATAATACGAGAGTGACTTACGCTCAGCACTCGAGGGACTCACCAATCAGCTGACAGCCAGTAAACATGGGCTGACGTGTATAACAACACCTTTTGCGATTTTCATAGAAACGCTAAATGCAAGAATAGTTCAAATACAAATTTCCGAGTATTTAATCAATATAAATTCTTTTTTTTTAACATCGATCGAAGGATACAGTGTAAATATATTTAGCATATTTATGATCACAGGTAAAAGAAGAAGAATCGCAATTTAGCGCGGGGACACTTTAAATACCCGGATACCCAACCACTTTCATGACATTCAGTTTTTGGGTAGACTCCTATAACATTTACTATGTGATAATTATACTTGTATATAATAATATGTATTAAAGGTAAACGCCTAACATGTAATATTAATTAATAATTAAAGCAAAGTCAGATGCCACTAGCCTGTCTCCACATGTAAGGAGAGAAAGTAAGGGGAGACATGATAACCACCTACAAAATTCTCAGGGGAATTGACAGGGTGGAAAAAGACAAACTATTTAGCACGGGTGGAGCACGAACAAGGGGACACAGGTCGAAACTTAGTACCCAAATGAGCCACAGAGACATAAAAAAATATTTTTTCAGTGTCAAAGTAGTTAACAAATGGAATGCATTAAGCAGTAATGTGGTTGAAGCTGACTCCATACACAGTTTCAAACTAGACAACACCATTTTCAAAGCCACAGGCAAACTTAGTGTTGCCAGATTGGGCTACAAATAGCGAATTGGGCTACTTTTGAGAGCCCCGCCGCTCCCAAATTTTTAATTTCGCTACTTGCTACTTTTTGGGCTAATTTAAATGCAAGATGTGCTAATTTGGGCTATTAATGATAAGAATGTACAATTGCGAGTTACATGAAAGTAACTAAGCTATAAATAATTGTAATTAGTAATAATTGTAAATATTAATTAATACTAAATAATATTATTTAATAAATTAGTCCCAATTCAATGCAGAGTTTTCTTCCAAGCACAGAAACTTGTAAATATAAATACAAGATAATAGATAGATCGATAAATAAATAGACAACTTTCAAATATTGCACCAAGTAATGGCGAGAGGAAAAAAACTAGACAGTATACATTACATTTGAAATTAATAATGGATGAATGGTAATAAATTGGTGTATGTTTGTATGTATACCAGACAAAGTCCATTTAATGGCAGAATTTAGCCATTTTGTGTAAAAACTTTTATATTTCCTATTATTAATTATAACAGTAATCGAAAAAAGTTATAGTTTGTATATACAAGAGATGAAACAGAGAGCCATGAGCTAGATCGTTGTGCTGAGTCCATAAGGAGGCCGAGCTTCCAGAAATACCTTCCTGTGATTGGCTGTTGCGAAGAATACCAACACTCTTTTATGAATAAAATTTAAACTAAGAAACAGGTCCTTGTGCACAACAACAAGGTTGTTGTGAAAAAGAACAACAATTTCTGTTTTGCACCTGACAGAAATCTCCATCTAACTGAATAATTTACTCGAATAAGAGGGCAGAGCTGCGTATCATTATTTGTGTCAAGGCAACCCCCAATAATAACGTCTCAAGTCAGGTAGCCAGCCCATGTTTCTGTAACACCCGTTACATCCTGAAGTATTTAATTATCACTATATTAATATTTTTAAATACTTAACATTTCACTTTTTAGGTAGATTAAAGTTGAAGCAAAATGTCATAAGTAAGGATGGTGTGCTGAATAAAGATGATTTATTAAGTGGATGGAGCCTTCAGCTGATCCCTTCCTGTGATTGGCTGTTGTGTGAATGTCAACAAAGAATATCTACCAATGATATGCCATTTATTATGCACCCCATACCTACTGTGGGCGGAGCTAGGAACCTCCTACCCGAGCACAACAACCCACCTTATGGGTTGCTGTTTGGCTATTTATAGTGCGTTGGAAAAAAACGAGATGGCGTTAGTTGTATTTTGTGGGGTAATTTGTTATAAGTGTAATTTGATGTCAACAGATGGCGTAAGCTGTATCTTATGGCCACTGTTGACCAACCAGTTGATAGTGTTCTCTTCTGCCGACAGATGGCATCAGCTGTGTTATTATTATTTTAATAATATTATTACATTAATAATAATGTATTATTATTATTTTAAACACTGATCTATACGTCTGGTAGCTTATAATAAGGTTTTATACCATGCTGGTATTAGGTAACTAGAATTCTGCAATTACTTTTTTTTATCTACTGTTGAGGATATGTAAGACAAATGTAAGGTTTTGAGGCTAAGTAACGAAGATAGTTACAAGATACGAGCCAGATGGTGTTGAGATGGCAAAAGGGATTATGATAAGAACTTAAGCCAAAATATCAATGCATAAATGTTCGCAAATATGAGGCTGGGATTTATTTCTCGAAAAGTTAGCAATAAAATACGCTTTCTAGTTCTTTATTTTTAAAATTAAGACCAGGGATTCTGTCTAACGAAGCTGCAAGCTAAAACCCGTCATGTTCATCTGTAGCTTGACCCTAAATACTCGTTTATTAAACGAATTTATTGTTAGAATTCATTATAGGAATCAACTTCTATGATTAATAATGCTCAATAATTTAGCAGTCTCCGTGGTGTAGTGGTAAGACACTCGCCTGGCGTTCCGCGAGCGCTATGTCATGGGTTCGTATCCTGGCCGGGGAGGATTTACTGGGCGCAATTCCTTAACTGTAGCCTCTGTTTAACGCAACAGTAAAATGTGTACTTGGATGAAAAAACGATTCTTCGCGGCAGGGGATCGTATTCCAGGGACCATAGGATTAAGGACTTGCCCGAAACGCTACGCGTACTAGTGGCTGTACAAGAATGTAACAACTCTTGTATATATCTCAAAAAAAAAAAAAAAAAAAAAAAAAAAAAAAAAAAAAATCAGTTTCCAACAAATACCTTCCTGTGATTGGCTGTTGCGGGGAATTAATGCCAACGCTTATATTAATAAAATGCAAAATAAGAAATACGTCCTTTTGCTCAATAACCTTATTGTTGTACAAAAGAACAACAATTTGTGTTATACAAGACAGACATTTCCATCTAACTGAATAATGTAGACCAATAAGAGGGCGGAGGCATTGTATCGCCGATATTATTTGTGAGGCAACACCCACTGATGACGTCACAAGCTAGGTAGCCAGCCCATGTTTCTGTAACACCCGTTACATCCTGCAGTATTTAATTATCACTATATTAATACTTTTAAATACTTAACATTTTACTTTTTAGGTAGATTAAAGTTGAAACAGAATGTCATAAGCAAGGATGGTGTGCTGAATAAAGATGATTTATTAAGTGGATGGAGCCTTTAGCTGATCCCTTCCTGTGATTGGCTGTGGTGAATGTCAACAAAGAATATCTACAATAATATGCCATTTATTATGCACCCCATACCCTTTTGTGGGCAGAGCGTGGAACCTCCTACCCGAGCACAACAACCCAACTTATGGGTTGCTGTTTGGCTATTTATAGTGCGTTGGAAAAAAACGAGATGGCGTTAGTTGTATTTTGTGGGGTAATTTGTTATAAGTGTAATTTGATGTCAACAGATGGCGTAGGCTGTATCTTATGGCCACTGTTGACCACCCAGTTGATAGTGTTCTTTCCTGCCGACAGATGGCATCAGCTGTTATTATTACTTCCGAATTCCCTTTTTTAAACACTGATCTACAAATCCCTTGGCTTATGATAAGGTTTTATACCATTTATGATAAGTATTAAATAACTGGAGTTCGGCAATTACTTTTATTTATCAACTGTTCAGGATATCATCATATAATGTCTGGTTAGGACGTACTGCTCTCGATTGATGAAGATTAAGCCACCCAAGAGGTGGCACGGGCATGAATAGCCCGTAAATACTGCTCTCGTAATATTATTCAGGGGTGGGGGAACTATCAAATGAAAGCGCCAAGCCATTACGACTATATAGCAATCGGAAGGGATCAGGATACGGATTTGGGATGGAACGGGGGAAAGGAATGGTGCCCAACCTCTTGGGCGGTCGAGGATTGAACGCGGACCTGTAGGAAACGAGACCGTCGCTCTACCGTCCAGCCCAAGTGGTTAAGCGTAATATTATTAAAACAACAATTTATGCATATAATAACAGCATTTCATACTAAAAATACTTGGATATATTGAAATTTGGTAGTGAATTCCAATTTAGGAATCTCCTATGACTAAACTACTTTTTAATAATTTTTATGTACTTACTATTTATTATTAAATTGTTAAGTACTTATTATAATAAATAAATAAATTATTTTATTTAATATTTAAATTAAATGATAAAATAATAGGTAATATTAAGTCAAGGTGTAGGGGGACAGGCAGCCAGAGTATATATACATGTTAGGCTTATACCAAGGTCCCACAAAGGTGCCAAATTAAAGACTGGGTGCTGCCCGGGCGGGCTGGCCAGGCTGAACTTCCGCGCCCTTATAATCACCATTGTTTAATAATCTTCACAGGGAGAAACAACTGTAAATATAGGAATAGTTTATTACAACATACACGGTAAAGAAAACAGCTCGGAAACTAAGGAAATAAAGCTGCCGACAAAACATTAAAGTCCACTTCAAGTTCGAGTATGTTTATTGTCGGTTCGTTCATGCTAGGCTTGCAGTTACACAATTGGTCGGGGTTCGGGGTGCGCAATAAACCACCACTCACTGGTTGAATAGGGGATGCTTAATGAACTCTCCACCTCTGGCGGCAAAAAATCAATACTATATATATATATATATATATATATATATATATATATATATATATATATACCTATATATATATATATATATATATATATATATATATATATATATATATATATATATATATATATATATATATATATATATATATATGCGAACAAGCCTGAACAAGCCTGGGGACCATTCAGGCTTGTTCGCATTTGTGTTCCTCACGTGTGCCCCAAAGAATGAGGTGATATATATATATATATATATATATATATATATATATATATATATATATATATATATATATATATATATATATGGGGTGGGGTTACCACCTCTGGTGCAATTAT